GAATTGTTTATTTTGTAGAAATTTTTGTAGAGGCTTGATAAGCTTAATAGGAGGTACTGTTAATGTAAAGTTAATTGTGTTACTGAAATATACATTTTATTCATTTTTTTGTTTTATTATATGAAATTGTGTACAAAGGTAGATATTTTTAAACGACTTCAAAAAAGGAGGAAATTCTCATTCCACTGTATTTTTTTTTTGTATGTATGTTACGCGATAACTCATTTGTGAACCGATTTTGATGATACTTTTTCTGTTGGAAAAAAGGTAACTCAGCATTGGTCCCATTTAAATTTGAAGAAAATATTCCACGTCAAAAGGTGGCAAATTAGGCGATGAACCCGGTTTCGCGCACTTTCCGATAACTGATTTCAGTAAAACTTGGCAAATAGATGTAATTCCACGAACTTTTGAGTTAGGTTTTTTCGTACTCTGTACTGATTTATATTCTTAAATAATTCATTTTAGATTTTAATTTTAGCCTCTTATCAGAATTTTATGTGATCGGATAAAGTACATACTATCATGTAACACATTAGCACACTCTTTATATTTAAGTGTACCGGACTTTTTTTGGAATACCGTTATTTAATAGTACATAGCTACCTAAACCATTTGATCAAAAACAGTTTTTCCCGCTTCTTATCCTTTGGTGACACGCCCTAAGTGCGCCTCTGTAATGACATCTCATAATACGTACGAGTAGCTCGCGATTCATTCGCAAACAAGCGCATTCGCCAGATTTGTACGCACCTTAAGGTATTCCGAACTTTTCTTTTCCAGGTTTCAGGTTTACCAATACGTAACGGAGTAGAGCATGCAGGCGAAGTAGCATCAATGGCGCTAGCACTGTTAGCCGCAACGAGGGTATTCCGAGTGCGGCACCGTCCTGAACACAAACTGCTTTTACGAGTCGGTTTACATTCCGGTAAGTATGAAACTTGCATTAAAGAACACCTTTTTTGTTATAAAAATTTTAACCTAATTTAAATCAAAACAATTTTGCTTAGGTGGGTTACGACTTCTTGCTTTATAACATTAAATCACGGAGCATGCCAACGATGTGTGAAATAGTACACCCGCGCGAATAATCTCACGATAGACAAGTATTTCGAAAAATCACGACACGCTATTTTTAGGTTCCGAAACTTCAATGTTATTTACATTGTAATTTAAATTTCAATTATAATGGTCGTAGCTACAAAAATACAGCTGCGGTAAGCTTAGGGATACCAAGCCGACAGCCTCCGGAATGCCTCAGCAACTCTCGGGATGCTTCAGCCGGCTTTAGAAGGTTATTCAAAATCTTCACTTTCTTAGCGTTCTCGTCTTCTTCTTCAGCAAGATAAAGCTTTTAAATATACAACTGCTAATAAATCAACTTGCTACGTTACGAATGATCTGAAGAGAGATTAGGCGCGAGCACAATGTCGCAACGATATGCTTCGGCATGCCTAATGCACAGGTCATATCGCGAACGAGGCGGGGCATCTTTTCATACTTCGGTTCACACCGAACTAAGCTAACCGAGCCAACTAGCTCAACGATCTCGCTAGCTATGTAAAATATATCGCCCTTCTACCGCCCTTCATCCTACTACGTATTTTCTTAGCTTAACTGTGCAAGCAACTACGTGAGCTAAGATAAGTTAGCTAGTGTCGTTCGCGATGCGGCCGGATACCGCGGCATAATTGCAATCAGTGCGCAGTGTGCACTTTGTACGTAGGAATGACGAATGATCCCTTGCTATGCCGTCTCGCCAATGGACGTCGGGCCTAAGCTGACACTCGCACTCAGCAATTAAATCCCGAGCAATCACCTGGCACCTTTGGTTAACTTTAAATTTATTTGGAATCATAACATGAAATATCCTAAACGTTTTAACAGACTTGAAAAAAGTAGGTCCTCAATTCGACTGTATTTTTTCTGCATGTAGGTTACGCGATAACTGGGGCTGACTTGTGAACCGATTTTGATGATTCTTTTTTTGTTGGAAAGAGAGAGTTGGAGAACATTTAAATTTGAAGGAAATATTAGACCTCTAAAGGTGGCAAACTAGGGGAAGAATTTGGTTTTTGCACACTTTCTGGTAACCGATTTCAATAAAACTTGGCAAATAGATGTAATTCCACTTTCGAGGAAACTTTTTTTTACAAAAAGTTACAATTATTACAGGTCCAGTATGTGCGGGAGTTGTTGGTCTAAAAATGCCCAGATATTGTTTATTCGGAGACACGGTTAACACTGCTAGTCGATTTGAATCCACTGGAGCCCGTAAGTTTTACTTATACATAATACCTTATTGTATTTGGTTCTTCGAGCTCGATTAATTTAGTGATATATATTTATTCGCAGCGTTAAAAATCCATTGCAGCGCGGCATGTAAAGCTTTATTGGATCAATTAGGAGGCTACATTTTAGAAGAAAGAGGAGTAGTCGCTATGAAAGGCAAAAGAGATCAGGTAAGTAAATATCCATGGATAAACGAAATATTTTTATAGCTACGATTTTTATAGTTATTAGACAATAACATATTAGATAACATCACATACATTGCTCTGATCCCAAAGTAAGCAGCTAAAGCACTTGTATTATGGAAATCGAAAACAACGACGGTACCACAAACACCCATACCCGAGACAATATACAAAAGTTAATTTCTACACTGACCCGGCCGGGGATCGAACCCGGGACCAAAGAGATGGCGACACCATGAAAACCGGTGTGCAAGCCACTCGACCACGGAGGCCGTCAAATTGGCTATAACATCTTGCTTGCTACAATCAGGTAACTTATTGGCTGAGAGGGGAAGAACCAAAAGCCGCCGCTGCACGAGCCAAACGGCGAGCGCAAAGAGAAGATAATTCGCAACCACCACCATTGGAGAAACGAGGGCAACGGAGTTCCTTGAAAAGTCGAAACTGGAAAAATCAACTGGGCGGGTTACACAGGTAGGTACTTGTTGATATTTATAAATATTGTAACTAATCTTGTGGGTTTCAATACTTTTAAAATAGCACGCCGTTCGTGCAACTTGAGATAGGTGCCCACATATTTATTTAGGCAAGTAACCGAAAAGCACCCTTTTCACAATACAATACTAATATTCTTTATTGCACACTGGGACAAATACATAACAATACAAAAAAAATAATACAAAATTACAGGTACAACAGGCGGCCCTATTGCTAAATAACAATCTCTTCCAGGCAGCCGTCGGATTACAGGAAAAACTGTAAAATGAAATTAATTGAGAGCGCATCAGAACACGTATTTAATTCACATATTGCAGATACACAAATAAGAGTGAATTAATAAATAAATAATAATAAAATACTAAAAAAAAGAAGAAAAATATTATATCGATTATATCGAAGTAGGATTGGATAAAACGTAATAATCATAAGACACAAAACTTAAATCAGGTAAGAATAGGAGAAAATAATAATTAATTATTGTAAATACATCTCGTTTTTTACAGATGTTGCAGTTTAGAATCTCCTAAGAAATTAAGGTTTGCATCTGGAAGCCACTTGGAATCTCATACAGATGGTGTGTTGCATCATCGGAGTGACGAATATCTTATGGAGGTAAGTGAAGTTTTTTCGAAATGGGTGGCAATTTATATTTCTACTTCTAAATACGTATAGAATAGAATAGAATAGAATAGAATAGAAAATCATTTATTTGACGAAGGCAAAAATACATAAAATAAAAAGGTCAAAACATGAAGAATAAAACGAGAAAAACATGAGTAAAAATTAGGCTTGACACAAAACAACCAATGATTGTATGTTACTCTGCTTGCCCCGCCGAGTAGGTACTAGGTAGATAGTATGCATAAGTACTAGTTATAACACAATTATTCCATTGCCTCTTTGCTACTAAGTACACCACCGTAAAAATAATCTGAACGTTGTGTTCTAATATATCCGAACATTTAACAAAAAATTTACCCTTTTCATCGTACCAAAGCACTTTTAATCAAGATGCACTTTTGTAGCAGTAGAGATCCTTGTGAAAGATTTCGTCGAGGAAAGTACTGCCTTACCTTACCTTACCTATTTCTGCCGCTAAGCAGTAATGTCGGCATTACTGTGTTCCGGTTTCGAAGGGTGCTGGTGAAATTACAGGCACATGGAACTTTGTCTCAGGATGCCGGGCGCAGTGACAGTGCTCCTCAGACTTTTTGCGATTTAAAGCTCTGAGTGGCCCAGCAACTGTTAGATATATATACAGGCGAGGAGCAATAGACAGGCGTGGAGCTTACTATCAGGCGCACGACTTGTTCGTTCCGTCGCTTGATATTAGAAAAAAAAACTGCAAGTCGAAGAACGTTCACAAACCTGGTAAAACGTGTGAAGTCACCAACCCGCATTGGGCCACACTCGCCTGAAAAGAGACTCGTGCCCAGCAGTGGGACGTATAAAATGGGTTGATGATGATGATGACTAATAAATCTTAACATTACAGGTCATAGGCGAAGGCCGTTTAGCTCCAGTACAACGTGGCGATCTTTTGCAAGCGCCTTGTCTCCGGCACGAATACACAAGCATATCTTGCCCCATAATCGAGCACGCAGAAAGTGCACCTGCTCCACCAGCCGCTACCTCCTGCACTCCTCTGTTAACCCAAGAAAAGAAAATTCCCCAAGACCTAGACAAAAACCCCATAGACGCTACACCTTGCGATATCAAATTAGTCATCAACGGGTGCACGTATAATGACAGGGAAGCGGGCATGCCGTTACTGGCGGACGCATAATGTACTTAATACTAGTCAATAGTTGAATTCCAGACGTTTACAATCGCAACACGACTACTTCAGAGCTCAATTAGTCTCGTTCGTTTTGTAATTTGTTAACACCTGGATACGATAATATATTTGGGGATTTAGTATACACACCTTTTAGACTAAGAAATTATAATGTCTTGAACGAATTTGTAATTGTAAAGTGCAAACAGTTTCCTTTAGAGGGCTTAAGACATGGTTTTCTTGTAGTCTATTGCATATTGTACTCTCCAGTTATGTTGTCAAGCGTGAAGCGATACCCTTAGCGATAATGTGATCTATGTCAGTATTATTAAGAGACCTTATTCAATAGAAATTATTTAATAACATTAAACTCTTATTTCACAATTCACGGTAACATCGTTTTACTTACACATATTAATATTTACAACAGCATTTCATATACATATATCTAAGTTGCTAATATACATTCAGTTTTAGGAGTAGGATAATGTAGGGGATAGGGGAGTTGGTCAGACGGCGGACTCGCGGTCAAGGAGGGGAGGAGCGCGACGCAGCGAAGAGCTGCTGCTGCGCGTGCCGCCGTGGAAGAAGCCCAGCAACCAGGAGCGGATGGCCAGTCGCGGGATCTTACGCATATCGCTCTTCACGTCCGCCACGTTCTCCAGCGACCGCCACTTCTTGTAGAACTCTATGTAATTGGAGTCGTGCACCTTTCTTTTGTTGCGGTCGAACTTGTTGTAGAGGCTGCACTTGCGGAGGAGCGGGCTGTCCTCTTCGGTTTTGGGCAGGTCCTCGGGGACGATGCCGATGATGGGTCCGTTGAAGACGGGGGCAGAGACGGTGGAGACGGTGGAGATGGCGGCAGTAGCGTCAAGCGACTGGGTGGTTTGTTGCCGCCGCAAGTGCGCCTCGCGGCGGCTAGCGCCGGTGCTTGCGCCGCACGCCAGCAGGTCCAGTGAATGCGCGCACCGCAGTGCTCCTGCGCGGGAGTTCAGCGACTCATCGTCGCCTTCGCATGCCGTCGACGATGCTATAGAACTCAATGCGTTCCTGAAAACAACAATCAGCATTTGCATTGACCATGTGACACAACATTTATAAAAATGGAAGGAGATTAATTTGCTACGAAGAATTCTTTGGCCGAGTGTCGAATAATCAACTGAGGATGCCACGTAGAGGGGCGAAAGTTGGTGGTAGCGTCTGTGACTGTAGTTGCGATTAATTTATTTATTTTATTGATTTTATGCAGAGGGAAGGTAATAAAATTAACTGCATGAATAAAATATTCAACACAAGCGTAGCTATTGTGCATGATTTAACTCCGCGGTTCGCGGAATAGCAAATTATTTATTTAACATGGGCTTCCGCAAGGTAACGCTTGTCAAAAGTCAATACAAGTTCTGCAATACCAGGCTATAAAAGTAATTTCTCAACATTTACAATGTTTTGTGGACCTACAGTTTCTCAACATTTACAATGTTTTGTGGAGTACCTCGTCCTGGGTCCGTGTTCGGTTCGGGAGCGGCGCTGCGCGGGCGGTGATATGGGCGCAGGCAGGGAGCTACGCGAACCGCGCGTGCCGCTGCTCGCCAACCGCTGCCGTGCCAAACTACTGGCAATCAGCGCCCATCCGGGATTAGATTCTATAACAATACCCACCTCATCAAATTTTTATGCAAAATAACAATCTATAGGAATTCGATGGAATATGCTAATCATAGCATAAAGGAGGGTGGCGAAAGCTGACCCAATAATTATAAGATCAACAAAGAGGCGTTCATGGACGTTGCTAGTTTAATTTTAACTAAAATTTAAAATTAAACGTAAAAGTTTATACCTAGTTACCAATATGTTGTGGTACAGTTTTAGAAGTCGGGATTAAATAATTTGTTAAACAACGTATTTTCAAGGAACACAACGCAATTGATTCAGTTCGACCATAGATTAGGTAACGTTCTTGTACGTACGTTTCATTTCAAGCATGAGTGAATGTTCATCTACCTAAAGTATTTGTTATTTTATAGTACACAGTTAAAGTACAAATAATCAATTAAACAGTGATGAAACAAGTTAAACATAAAGCACACAGATTTGAGAATATTCATCAAGTTATTATTTTTGGGAACAAACTGAAAACTGGTTGTTTTCTGCTACTACGAACAAACATCTGAAGCGAAATACAGGACATGTTATAGACACAACCTATATCAACTTTATAATCCCAGCTTCTACAGGCTGTACTCAATTATTAGCTTTTTCATGCTTTGATAATGAATCACAAGTATTGATAGGTATCTTTAATGCACGTCGTCAAAAACTCTGGGTCACAAAATACAAGGGATATCGCCATCTTTCTTTGTAAACTATTATTGGTAACAATAATCTAACCACTCGTTGACTTTAGATAATTACGATCTCGTAAATATTTTCATTTTATTTATCATATATTTGATGGTAGCAGGGCGCCTCTGGATGCAAGAAAGCCAAAAACGCGAGGAGTGAAGTCCATTGAGAACTCCTACTTGTAGAAAGGTTACGAAAGTAAAAAAAACTACTCTATCTTCAATAATAATAATAATAATAATAATAAATGTTGCACCTACTTCTTGCACAACCTCGTCCAATTAATTAAAAAAACGGAGTCCAAAAAAGTATTCTTAGCGCGGAACAGATTAGAAGTAACAGTTGTAAAGTTACCTATTTTATATATATAAAAAATTACAAATGCTTGTACAAAGTTTTGAAGTTTGAAAGAAGTCCTGAAAAGTGGAATGCCAGTAAAAATAAAAGAGTAATGCATGATACAAGACTGCTGCCATCGATAACGTATGCGTATCAGACAAACATATATAACACACGCAGATAGGAACTTTATGATTTTTTTTTATACAATTGTAAGTGCGCATTTGACCTCCAACTCACCTGATGGAAAGTGACGATGAGGTCGATGATGGAACATTATTTTGGTGTGCATACACCTAAATAATGTCTATTCACTTTCGCCTTGAAAAGGTCCAAGTTATAACGTTCAGGGTACACGTCTGCAGGCAGGGAATTCCACTCCATAGCCGTTCGTCGTACAAATGTGGAAGCGTAACGTTTCGTGCGAATCTTTGGAATATCCACAACATAGGAGTGGAACTTGGGTTCCTACGTGTAACTACCTACGTCTAGTCCCCCGATGATGGAAAGGGGAAGGCGAAATTAAATCGTGTAATTCTATCGCACACTCTCCGAGATATATCCGGTATATTTAAAACAAATGCACACCACCCTACACACGATGTTTAAAATGACGATTAAACTATCCACACTAGACAATTACACTAACTTCACGGTCCGGGCTCTGGTGGCACAAATGGCGGGCAGAAAAAAGTACTCATTCTCGAGTAGAATAATAATATATATTTGTTTTATTTAATTCCTTTGTTTGTATTACCATTAACTGTTTGAAAAATACAAAGTATTACACGTCCAGAGAAATTAATAATATACTACACAATTTATTTAAAATATATCAGTAACTTGCTGGTGCCCGCAACTTCATCCGAGTAGAACAAGTACTTCGAGTAGTCTAGTTACTATATTTTATATGTTCTGCATACAAACTGCATCCCCTGTTTCACCCCCTTTAAGGCTTATTTTTGTAACTAAAAGTAGCCTATATCCTTCTAGGTCCTATCTATCTCTATACCTAAATTCATCAAAATTAGTTCAGCGGTTTAAGCGTTAAACGCAAACAAACTAAATTACTTAATGAAGTTACGACTTTTCTAAAATGAAATGTTGTACATGAAACAATAAAAGGCTTTTTTACGTTATGTATTAACATGCCTGATACGGAGGGGTGTCTCGAGTCAGTCAACCGTGGACTCCTGCGCGGACGGCAGAAGAGCGGCCTTTCTTCGCCCTCCACAGCCCTCTTTTGAATCGCCTTCTCTGTCGCTCCGACTAGCCAATATGTTTGCAACTGTAATGAAATGTAAAAAAAATAACTTCCGAACAAAGTATTTGTGTATAAGCCTGCTTTTTTTAAATATAATATCAAGTGACGGGACAAACAAGTCGTGCGCCGATAGTAGCCACACGCCTGTCCATAACAGTTGCAGTGCCACTCACGAGCTTGAAATCGCAAAGATCTGAGGGGCACTGCCACTGCGCCCGTCACCCTGAACATAAGTTGACATGTCCATGTGCCTGTATTTTCACCAGCACCCTTACCCTTCAAAACCAGAACACAGTAATGCTGACATTACTGCTTGGCGGCAGAAATAGGTAAGGTGGCAGTACTGCACTTGTAACGTTCTATTTTAACGATATAACTAAATCTAATCTTAGTCTAATATTAACTATGTATAAAATGCTTATATCTAAATAATATACTCATATTTACAACATAAAACTAAATCTTAATCGAGGGAACGTAACTAAGTTGAATGGTTATTTTGGTGTGTTAACAGATGGTACATATTTCGCGAATTGTGTGTTGGGGTGAGAGGCGCGGAAGAGGCCGCCGCCGGCCGTGTGGCCTGGCTCCCTCGACAGGCGCGACCGAACTTTGCTAACCGACAGACTATGTCACTCACTTAGAAATTTTGCCATTCATTGTCGGTTTCGTGTCGCCTTTACTGGGTCTTGAACACCTATTATTTCTACAAAGTGTAAAAATTTTAAAGGCTATTATCTAATCTATTGAATTTAGTGTTAGTGTTATCCCCATACTGGGTAAGTTGTGCAAGTGCTTTTATTAGGCTATATGTGAGTGTGATTGGCTCAATTTCGCAAAAAATGTCGATTAAGTTACTTATGATAAGGAGGGCAGAATACTCATAGTCCCGCACTAGGGAAACCCAAGTGCGGGTGCCATGAATACACACATAGACAAGCACAAATTATACCCAAACTCACAAGAGAAATAAATGTAGGCCATAAACAACATAAAACAAATATTTCTCCCGGCCCGGAAATCGAACCCAGGACCTCTGCATGGTAGTCCAGTGTGGTAGCCGTACGGCCACAGAGGCAGTTCGAAAAAATATTTTTATCTTCGCTATTAAACAAGTTTAGAGCGCCTTGTAATTGTTTACTACTATTTGAAACTTGACATCCAAGTAGCAACAATGTACTTGCAAACATCCAAAAAGTTTATGTACTCAGTGACTCACCTGCCCTTTGCCCTTAATAGGAATTGTGCCACGTGGTTCAGTGACGTAGCCGCCGATCTTGTCAAGCGCCTGCTTGCAACTCGGCGAGATATGTATGCGCAGAGGCTCGCCGTTTGACTCCATACGTGAAGCAGTATTCACCGTGTCCCCAAATAGACAATAGCGTGGCATTGTAAGACCTACTACACCTGCTACTACCGCACCTGTAATATTTAGATTTATTTATAACTTTGTAGCTAACATCGCAAATCTTAAAAGTTAATCAAACCATTAATTCCACGCATTTCGATACGACTGGTAAATAATTTTAATAAATGTACGGATGGCAGCATTTATCAAGTTACAATTGACGGATCTCTTTTCGTTAACAAAAGTGTGCAGCTTGATGTGCTTTTGACGGTACGATGATATTATGCAACTCAAGAATTTGAGTGCATATTAATATCTTCTTTTTTACATTGAAGTTAGTATAAATGAATGAACACTGCAACATTCAGCATAATTACTTCTTAAATCTTAGGTGGTTTTTAGTCATTAACAAGTAAACAATTTTTTTGTACTTACCTGTATGAACGCCTATTCTTAGTTTGAGAGTTTCGTTTGGTCTGTGTGATATTTTGTGACTCTTTGCCGCGCTGAGGAGCTCAAGCGCCATCGAGGCAATCTCGCCGACATGCCGATCGTTATTCCTAATAGGTAGACCTGATACCTATAAAACAATAAATTGAAATATAAGGAAAGGTAATAGACAAGAGCTGTTCAATACTACACATATGCATACAAACAAACGACGACCTTGGTGGCCCAACGTTTCGCACTGTGGACGCTAGATGAGGTCCCGGGTGCGATTAACGGTAGGACCAATTCGGGAAATGAACTTTTCTATTTTGGTTCTGGTCCATTCCTCTGGAGCACACTCATAGCCCCACACTAGGGAAATCCTGTATCGCGGGCGCCATGGACACACACATAGATAACCGCAAATTACACCCAAGCTCGCGAGAGAAATATATGTAGGCCATACAAATACTTCTTCCAGCCCGAGAATCGAACCCGAGACGTATGCGTGGCAGTCCAGCATGATAACCGTTCGGCCACAGAAGCGTTTCAAAATGTAAGGAATTTATATGCGAATATGAACATAATTTAGCAAAACAATGTTGACCGTCACTTTAATTTCACGTTTTTCGTTTATATCAAGTGACGGGGTGAATAAGTCGTGCACCTGATGGTAAGCTACACGCCTGTCCATAACGGTTGCAGTACCACACAGAGTTTTAAATCGCAAAGATCTGAGGGGCACTGCCACTGCGCCCGTCACCCTGAGACATAAGTTGACAAGTCAACAAGACAAGTTGACAAGGCACTTAGGTGCCTGTAATTTCACCCTTCAAAACCAGAACACAGTAATGCTGACATTACTGCTTGGCGGCAGAAGTAGGTAAGGTGGCAGTACTTCCCTGGACGAAGTCTTTCACGAGGAGCTCTACTGCTATATACTCACGTTACTTTACATACAATGTTACAAAGTTCTTCCATAGTGTACAGGGCATCCCACATCTATTGGACATGGAGGTAAAGTACTTTAAATATTGTAGATAAGATATTTTGTTTCATGGAAACTATACTTTATTTTGAAATGTAAGTAATACGTCTTAATTCGAAGACTTTTAAAAAGATGAACCGACCAAATATGAAAAAAAAAACAGGCTGTATTTTTTATAATGCCGGTCGAAAGGATCAGTTTGATTCCCATATGAGGCAAGGAGTTTTAAATGTTTTAAGGCAGTATGAATTACTTTTTAAAATAAAATTATGTTTCCATGAAGCAAAATCTTATCTATATTAACTTTGTCTCCATATCCGATAGCCGTGAGACGTCCTGTATATGTACATACACCGTCTGTATTCAGATGGATCACTTGAGGTTATGGTTCGATGTGTGAAAAAAGCGATAATAGATCTACGGCCAATTAAATAAAATACTTTAAACTACATACCACCATATACGCGTCGCCAATAGTTTCAACTTTGTACACGTCATAGCCTCTGATAATTCTATCGAACACTGTATATAGGTCGTTGAGGAAATTCACCACTTGGAGCGGTGTACTTTCAGCCGACATCGAAGTAAAACCGACGATGTCGCTGAAGTAAATTGTGACTGAATCGAATGACTCCGGTTCTACGCCTTCACCTCGCGTTAGCTTGCGTGCTACTGACCTGAAACAAACGACATTTGTTCAGCATTTCAATGCCAGATTCAAAATATCTTTTTTTTTCTTTTTCTTTAAACGGAATTACCATTTTTAAACTTAAGTCAACTTTAAGATTTCTTTAATCTACATTGCCTTTTGAATTTTAATTATATTTGACATTTAAAAACGAATAAAAGAACTTGTGACTGTGAACAAAGGGGTAAACGATAGAATAATAAAATCGTGCTTAATATAAAAAAACAGTTTTCGTTGTGATGTGGTTGCAATCAGTGAACAAGATAGAGTGTTGGTGGAATACATATGTTAAACCATTACCAATTTTAAAATCACTTCGTAAAAAGCTTAGATATAAAAGTTAGCAGCTATCTACGTCAAAAAATATAAATCAAACTTACGTAAATCCTTCGTTGCAATATACTTAAAATTTAGGATAACTTCATACTATATAATTGAGTGCTTATATCAAAAACATAATAAAATTGTATAAAAATGTCGTGTCTAGTCAAATAGCATGCCAATTCATGTTGTATAGGTACGTATAGAACTCGATATGTACAAGTAAAACTAATATTACCGCCTATCTACCAAGTTGCGAGAGAAAGCTGGTAATACTTATCTAGGGAAACGCCATCACCGTCTACTCAAAACCACCACAAAACCCCAAGCAAGCGATCTACAACTGTTAATAAAGTGGTAAGACACACTCGCTACAGTTTAGGGCGTGTGCAGTGTGTCCGGCACCTAATGCAGCAAAAATCGTATTATCTACAATTACCAGTAGTGAGTTAATTACCTCAAGACATTTCACGACATTTCTATAATGTTCAACCTCCACATCTGGAAAAGAACACAAGTACAACAAAGTGAATACATTTTCATTTTCTCCTTTCCTTTTTGAAATTAGATACCACTGCTTTACATCAAGTCCATGTCTTTAACCTATTCGATCCCTAAACGGTGTGTATTTATATAGGAAAATTATACTATCGGATTTTAATAATATTATTGTAATTATTACATTAGAATAAATATTATATGAGAATAAATACTGATAATGCAATATACATCTTCTCCCGTCAAATAATATAACGCTAAGGCTGAAAAGGTTCGGTTTTTTTATTAATAATACAGTTTTCTTAAAGAAATAAATATGTATGTCTGAGATTCTTTTTTTGAATAACTTGATGGTAAGATGGTTCAAATGGAATGGGTACTGGGTAATAAAACTCGTAGCACACTTAAAGAGGAAAACAAGCAATGGAAAGCTACAGCTGCAAAAGTCTTATAGATCTCCTACATTTTTTAACACACTTATAGATTAAGTACAGATAAATGATAATAGAATGATTGTATTGGTATGGACTAAATGTAAACCAGGGTGCACATGTTAAAGCGCCGGCACCGGGTCGTCAGCTTGTTGTATTTGCGTCTTCGTGTGGTTCCAAATACGATATCGAGTAATTATTTAACGCCGGGTCCGGGTACCTCCGTAACGTAGCACTAGTAGCGGTATCACAAGACAGCATTACATTCCGTGTCTAAACCAGCAATGATACGGGTCGGAATGCGTTAATAATTTCGTAACTTATTTATTTCATAAGATCTCGAGTACGTGCTAATGAGTATAGCGTTAAAAGAATAACAAAATGATATCTTTAAAAACATGGATTTTTAAACAAAACGTTGAATTGATTCAAACCACTGGACACGTAAAAATTATTACAAAAACATTAACGTACTATTACAATGGAACACGCTACATTACAATAACAGCTATAACATACATAAGTACGAAAACAAGCACATTTATGGGATAATATTATTATTAGATGAATTACTCGACATTTATAGACAAAAGTAATAAAAATAATGCAGTTATTACGACTGAACTTGATGTAACGGTTCTAAACGAATAAAATATCTTTACACAAAATGTATCCATTTTGCATGACCTTTGAAAACATATATCAACTATAGAAATCTAAAGGACTACCTCAACTGATATATTGAGTAAGGTTGTCCCACAGCCCTTTTGCACGTTTCATAAAATTACGTATATTATACTTACTTTGGCAGCATTCTATGAAGCAGATCTTCTGTCTTCTGTTTCTCTTCATTGAGTAACCTCGTCCGTTCACTGACTAGTTCTTCCAAATTGTTTGCGTACTTCTCTAGCATATCCATCATTTGGTCCATTACATTGCGTGACCTGGAACAACGTATTTATAACATTGTTCGAATTAGGCTTGGTTTATTAAACACACACCATTGGTATGAGTGTCAAATCGATATTCAAAATTAAGTGGCGTAAAAATTCCACTTCAAGTAGTAAGAAGTTCACGTGTGCGTACACGCATTAACTACAAAATTTAAATTATCAAAAATGAACTCTACCAATTTATACATCAAAGGTTAAGTACAAATATAATATAAATATTGTTTTATTTTTATTTTTTAACAAACTTAAATATAATCAAGGTAATAATTTTGTGTGAAATTTCGATCTGCACACTCAATAATAAAGTAGTATAACACGAAAAGTATTTTTTGTGGAACTGACAAAATAGATTTAAAACTAATTACGAATTGCGTGCGATTTTTTGGCAGGTGGCAAATATGACTAGATTCTATTTAATATGAAAAATATTACTTTAATTTTTTAACATTATTTATTCTGCCAGCTCCTCAAAAATTTAATTTTCGAATTATGGCACTTTATTACTGACAGTTTGTTAACGACTGAAGACTTTTAAAACCCTCGAGATACGGAATACAGAGTCTAGCAAAGCTACGGAATATAGAGCATCAATGTATACTTTATTTCTGAACAAAAATAGTGACCTTGTAAATTAATTTATGTACAGTATTAATGCGACGATCGCTCCACGTCGCATTAATTTAACTGAATTTTTTTACGTATCTTCGCTGCTTGACCACATAAAATAAACACTTGGTCTATTTTAATCAAGATACTCACTTGCCCTTCATTTTCTTGAGACGAGTGCGTATGGTAGTGAAGTCGGGCCTGAGATTGGGGTCTTCAGACCAACACTCTCTCATAAGTGTAATCACGTAGTCCTCCGTTTCAGTTTCTATTATGCTCGTGTTTGGCCTGAATATCTCCTCGCTGTCTAGTTTCGGTCTTTTCACTCGGTCTACGATGTCTGTAACATAACAACAGTATAATTTTGTTAATATTTTCATTTTTGACGAATTACAGACAGAAAAGATTTTTCTCGTTTACCAAATAGACTTCAAGATTCAAAAAGAAAGAGGTGACTTGAAGAAAAACTTTTATAAATTTCTCAAAGGTGACGCCACAACAAAAAAGCCGTTAAAATAAAAAATAAAAAGATCTGTAACAAATGCATAGAGAAATTCGTTTACCGTAGATTGGCAAAACAGATACAGGTTCGAGTCCTGGTAGATCGAATTATTCTATGTATAGAAAGAGATACCTACGTAAATTGAAAGAAGTTTAGTGTTTATACAAATCCTGGAAACTTCCGAGAGAGGACCACACCTCTCTCGGAAGTTTCCAGACCCATGTCTGGTAGTGAAGTTTTTAGACCCACGTCTAGGATTGCATTTTCTTAGTAAAATAGCGTCAAAGCTAATTATCGAGTGTATAAACTATATCCTACTACTATTTACATATATTAGACTATTTTCATATGAAAAATTACATAACTAATGAAAATTGAACATGGTAAAAGCCATTACCTTTAGGTTCCAAAGCAGTAGGACCAAAAGGTCCTTTCCTTGCGATGATTTCATACAAAATTATGCCAAAAGCGTATACGTCGCCTTTCTGTGTGCCTCCTACAGTACCGTTCGGGTCTTCTAACTCCCTTAGTAACTCGGGTGACTTCCACAGCAACCCTTAAAATGTATGCCAAACTTTGAAGTTTCAGTTATAAACTTAAGGTTGTGATTAAAGTTAAAGTCAAAGTCAAAGATTATTTATTCCATAGGTAAAATAAATTTACACTTGAAAACGTCACATTCAAGCTACTGCTCGTTCACTACGCTGACCTCCCGGAGAAGAACGAGCAAGAAACTCTAGTGATTGCTCTTTTGAAATAAACTTAAATGCTATGGAATACACTTTGAATCAAATGTAACGATAAACGAAAATATGTATCGATTTTGTTCCAATGTTAACCCATTAACGCCCAAATACAAATTAGCGTTAAAAATAGTAAAATTTTTTTAAGAACCTTTACAAAATAGCCTAGTTATGAGAAAATTATGAAGAAAAAAAAGATTTTATTTTATTTTGTATGAAAAAAAATGCCGTCCTCAAATGGGGACAATGGGCTCAAGCGGTGTCAAAAAATTTGTAACAATATTTGTCGGTGCACAAAGACTTGACGCATTTTTTATATTGCCAACGCACTTATTTGTGGCTCAACAGCTATTTTTGCACATCGTAACTGTTAAGCCAACTTCTGAGCGTAGTGATCAACACCAATGTTCTGTAGATTTAGCACCAAAGAAGCTGCTGGATGTAAACTTTGAGTATTTGTTTCTCCAATAGTGACGTGATGTAACCGTTTAACTGATGTAGCTGATCTAGCTTCGTATTATTGGTCAGGAGGTGTAAACGCCATGTATTAGCTAGTGCTAGGTGCAGCTTGTAGTGGAACAAAACACACCACCAGTTTTTGCCTCGAATGGCAGTGCGATACAAAAAGATTGGTCAGCTTGATTTATCCTGCTGGTACGTTTGAAATCACGCAGGATACCCACGTCAGCTTTCTGTTTATTCACAGTGCTTTATCTTTTTACTTTCACCAGAGAAAGGACATTATCATAATCAGAGCTCATCGTGCAAATACTATTGTCAAGCCATGGAAAAAACAGAATTTGGTTGATTGGGAAAATCGATAGTCAAAATTGGCACGGTTTTACTCTACATGTGTATTACAAATCTGGTCAAGTAGATATTTCTTAGTTTTTCCTTTGCAGACAGTTTCAGTTGTTCGATAACCAGTTTGCCGTAGATTATTAGATCTTGTTACATAAGAATAGTACTTCTACATTGGTGAGCGCCCTCAGTTCCAGGGGAAATGCCCCCTAAATCTATCTCCACATCATGGTCTCTCTCATCCATTACAGTTTCAATAGCTTTCTGAAGCCCATAGTAATAATTGTGGCTGCCAAATACCTGTTGTGTCATTATTTCGTTGAAAATTACTTATAGATGAAAAACTAATAAACTACCCCATAAGCGCCCAATGGCCCCAATTGGGGACACCGTTATTTACCACCGTCTGAAGTTGTCAAAACACTATTTAACTCAGTTATATAATTTTTATTTTATAGTATACGAATACATTTCAATAATATATGTAAAAAAAGAAATAAATTGTTGGTAATAACATACAGGAAAAACAACTAACTTTAGCGTTTCACGTGTGCGTAAGTTAACCCCACAAAAGGAACAGTCAAACCACTTTTATTTAATTCTAAACAATTTTTTTAAATAATAAAATTAAGATCCCCTATTTTACTTTACATATACACTTTTGTAATGAGTATTAATAGTAATATAAAAAAATTACGGGTACTCAAAGTAGTGTCCTCGATTGGGCACGGCGGGCGCAAATGGGTATCGTGATCACATTAAGAGTCGAAAAATTCGATTTTTTTACACTGCTCTAAATCTTATAAAAGTACAATCTATCAAAATTTTATACTGAAAATTGTACTTTACGTCATTTGCGCATTTAGCATTCAAAGTTGCTATTTAAAAGTTACCCCTGTATAGCTTAACCTGCGGATAAGTACAACACGTACACTGAACGTATTTGAAAATGATTTTGGAATAACAACTTACCCCTGTAATATTGATGTTCTCCAATAAAATCGTTTTCTGCAGAATACCTTAGTTCGTGAAGACCAAAATCGCCAACCTAAAAGAAATAAGTATAACAGTTTTACCGCATGTAACTACTTTACACATTTAATAAAATGTAATGGCATCGACTCGACCTAACGCAGATTAAATAAAAAGCAGTATAAATTCAGTGCATTTCCTTGGATTTCAGCTAGGAATAGATCGATTTATTTTAATTTACAGCAAAAAAACTTTTTTTCATTCATCTTCTCATCGTATCGATAGCATACACTATAACGCATGCCATCGTGGTGAAGGATTAGCCAATGGGCGTAAGATACTCGCCGATTATTGCCAAGGTAAGCATCATTTTCAATCATGATACAAGCGTCTGTCATCCAAACCTATCACAAAATTATTAAAGCTCAACTGCTACTAAACATTTTTTTTTCAGTCGAGTTCCTTGTGAAAGAGTTCGTCCAGGGTAGTACTGCCACCTTACCTATTTCTGCCGCCATGCAGTAATGTCAGCATTACTGTGTTCCGGTTTCGAAGGGTAAGGGCGCTGGCGAAATTACACGCACATAGGACTTGTCAACTTGTCTCAGGGTGACCGGCGCAGTAGCAGCGCCCCTCAGATCTTTGTGATTTAAAGCTCTGAGTGGCACTGCAACTGTTATGGACGGGCATGTAGCTTACCATCAGGCGCGCGTCTTGTTCGTCCCGTAATTTCATATTATTACAAAAATATATATATGGATGTCGACTAATTTGACAGCTCTAAACTAAAATGAAAGCGTTCTTTTCTTACCGACTCAAATCAGTAAAGTTTAATTAGCGTTTTACATAATTATGCAACTATAAATAACAAAAAATCTTTAAAAAAAAGTGTCAACAACGGCTCCTGTCTGTGCAGAAATCGAGTAGCAATTGGTCAGTGGTTAAATCCACTAGCAACACTAAATGAATAACATTTTAGAATGTTTTCTGTTTTTAATTACATTTTTTTTTATATTTATACATTTTACTATAGTGCAACACAGACATATTAATTGCTTCGTGTTATACACTCCGCTCGCCGGTCTGATGCAACAAGCGAACAGCTTTAAGGTGAAGCCTGAAAATCAGCAATGCTGAGTCTTAATCCTTTTTGTCCAAATTACAGTTCCTTTGTTTTAATTGTTCGCTTATGTTTGTTTATGTGTTTTGTGGATAAATAAATGTCTTTTTATTTATTTATTAAAAGAACTTACCTGAAGCATCCACCTGGACGTCACTACACAATTCGAAGATTTGAGATTACCATGAAAAATCAATGGCGAAGTATGAATAAATATCATACCCTGCAAAAAAAAGAATTATTTGAAAGTTCACTTTGTAATCTTTTTAATACAAAATTGTGTTCTTATCCATGTTAATGTTTACCTTTATGAGATCATGAATTAGCGAAGATATAAACATATTATCCAGTTTAATATCTTCATTTTCGATTATATCCTGAAACATCAGACCCAGTATTCAATTACTTCATAGTAGAAGACAAAAACAAACGCAAATAATGCAATTTTAAAATAAGTCAGAAAGTATATGCCTGCTCTACGATGCAAACAAAATATTTTTTTTTTAATAAAAAACCCGATGGAAGTCTGTGGAATTACATCTATTGGCCAAGTTTCGGGACTTGCACTTGCCTGAAGAGGATCAACGAGTCAACAAACTGTGAAACATTGACTTACAAATAAATGGACGACGGGTCTAATACAAAAACCACGAAAAAAATGTCCCAAGTCAACCTATTCGAAATTTAAATTATACTGTCATCGCAGTATCGCGCTGTCAGTAGAACAAATGAAGACTAAAGCGGAGTTTGGCGCTCTGTATACTATTTTAGCGCCTTACAAGTGCGGACACTTTTTAGCGCGGACCCGACGTCCATATAATTGTAAGTCAATGAGGTGAACCGAAATTCTTGTTGTTGTTATTGTTGACATGCGTTGTATAGAAAAAGTGATCTAATTTCAATAAATACCGTATATAACTTTTAAATAAAAAAAAACGACCTCAAAAGTATGCTTATCCGCTTTGGCCGTGTTCGTAACATCTTTTTGCTAAGTTTTATTGAAATCAGTAAACAGAAAGTGGGCAAAATTCAATACATCGGATTCATCCCCTAATTTGCCACCCTTGGAGGTGGGAATATTTTCTTCAAATTCGTATGGGACCTCTACTGAGGTACCCCCTTTCCAACAAAAAAAGAATAATTGAAATTGGTTCAAAAATAATAATAATAACGCACACACCCTACATAGCCCCGCACTAGGGAAACCCTGTGTTGTGGATGCCCACATAGACAATCACAAATTACACCCAAACTCACGAGAGAAATAGATGTTATGGGACCTCTGTGTGGCAGTCCGCCATGGTAACCGTTCGGCCACAGAGGCAGTTAAAAAAAATGTTGAAGCAATCGTGTATCATACGCACGCAAAAAAATACAGTCGAATTGATGAACACTTCCTCCTTTTTTCAAGTTATTTATACCGTATACTACATTAAAACAAAATAATATATGGAGTTATCACATACTTAAATTCCAGCTTCAATTAAAATCAGTTTAAAATGATGGTTGTATATGTATTATAGTATGTTTACTTACATATAAGCTGCCCTTAGCGCAATAATCCGTGATAAGGAGCACCCGCAGCGGTTCGACTACGGCACCCACGAAAGAATTCAAGTTGTCGTGCCGCAGCTCGCGAAGCAAACGCATCTCCTTCATTACTTCGCGTGATATGTCCTGAAAGAAATATCATCAAACGTTGTAGAGCTCGATAATAGCTAGTTTAAGTATATTTCGTAAACAACAAACACATTGTGTTAGCATGTTTAGTTAGTACTTAAATGTTATCTAAACGTATGGAGTTAATATATAAAACAGTGCATTTTCAATGGCTTTTTGCGGTTAGTATGTTTCGTGTATGTTACATTCATTATTTAAAGTGGATTTTTATGAAATATACATTTTGACCATTCTGAACGTAAATACATCGCACACGAAACAAATTGCTGTCGTAACTCAAAATTTTGTAAACAACAAACACATTGTGTTAGCATGTTTAGTTAGTACTTAAATGTTATCTAAACGTATGGAGTTAATATATAAAAAAGTGCATTTTCAGTGGCTTTTTGCGGTTAGTACTTTTCGTGTATATTAAATTCATTATTTAAAGTCGATTTTTATGAAATATACATTTCGAGCATTCTGAACGTAAATACATCGCACACGAAACAAATTGCTGTCGTAACTCAAAATTTTAGAATTGAGAGTTCACGTAATTCCTGAAGAAAACTAATAAATATATATTCTCGTTTATAGATATTATTTACAAATAAAAATAATCACATAATTCCCAATAAGATCCATTCAGTATTTTTATTTTTCAATTTTCAAATTGTGTTTTCTCAATTCCACAATGTTGAGTTACGAGAGTAGGTAATTGGTTTCATGTGCCACATATAATTCTTAGATTTCCGCTGCACCTTTCTGTTACATCGTGTATAAAATCAACCACTTGTATACAGATAACTATAATACATATAAATAGATCTAAATATACCATATATACATACACACAACACAAAGGTTGTACATTAGCATACGGTTTTTTCACACTTACTCAATACTATTATTTTATTGCCTTTCCATTACGTTAACAAGTTGCTACAAAATATAATATTAGGTTTATTTAAGCAAAAAATCAATGAAAATCATCAACAATCAGTCAGTCACTTGGGGACAGCTTACCTTCTTCTTGGAGAATTTCAGTTCTTTTATCCTAACGACGTTCCCCTTGTACTGAGCTGTAGTTGTGAATATTTGCGTGCAGCACTTGCTGTCACACGATATGCCACTTGCTAAACTTAACTGGAACAAATAATAAAACTTTAAAAACTAATAACATGCACACATAATCCATGAATGAGATACACCAGTTAGCACCCAGTTCATAAACGTCAGAATCGCCTTAAGATTTTCAAAGCTGGTTTTGCTGATGGCAATGAATTATACTATTCAAATTATGTATCATAGAAAAAAACTTCTTCGAGACTTCTATAGACGTTACCTTACTAGGCGACCACACGAGCCCGCTGCCCATATACCCAGCGATCTCAGTAGGGTCGATCTTCCACAATAACCCTTCAATCTCTTGTTCAATCTTCCACTTCCTATAAATGCTCACTGTAACCACTAATGCACAGAATAATGTAACTGCTAGAGTCCCCGCTACAACTAATGAAGTAATTTGAGAATCATCTTTAGGACATTTTTCGTTGAGGAAACCACAAGATGGTTCGTCTTCTGGTTTTACGCCGTCGGGCCAGTCGATTGGCATACGTGGATTCGTTTTGTATTCCTGTAAAAAACATTGATATACAAACATACTGTATCAAAAGCTAAGGCAATAAAGTTATTGGCGTACATGACAAGGATGCTGGTGTAATTACAGGCACATCACACTTGTCAATTTATGTCTCAAGATGACCGGTTCAGTGGCAGAGCCTCTCAGATCTTTATGATTTAAAGCTCGCAGTGACATTGCAGTTATCATGGACAGGCATGTCGCTTGTCACCAGGCACACGACTTGTTCGTCCCGTCACTTGGTAACATATATATATAGTATTATATATATATAGTATAACATTATTAAAGAATAATCCGAAAAGTTCAGCTGCTACCCGGTTATCAAATTCGGAGTAAAATGGCAATGCACAGATTATATGACATATTATACAAACCACATCAGCTAATATTAAGCCCCTTAAAACTATTATACCAACCATATCAGCTAATATTAAGCCCTTTACAACTATTATACCAACCATATCAGCTAATATTAAACCACTTACAACTCAGAATTTATTTTAAATCCACTCTTCTGTGTATGTATTATAAAATTGAAATACAAAAAAAATACCAATACTCACAGGATAAACCCTATTGCTCTGCTGAAAATGTCCAATAGGGATCATGCTGTACGAACAGTTTATATCATCTTCACTGAAGTTCATAGGCTTGAACGCGAGCACAGAGAAGTTACCCTCCGAGTCCGCGCGGTCGTCCAAACGAACTGACATTCCGGTCACACCTAAGGCACAACAAATAATCTTATAACTTCGTAAGTTCATAAAGGTACTGTACATCGCGTAGCGAAACTAAAGTATATAAGTAGTTCTAAACTCTAACGAGTGTATTAGAAAATTTAAAAAACCTCTTTTTATACTTAAATTTTTTTTTAATCCCAGCTGGCACAGAATAAGTAACTTTGTATCAGCAGTACATTTAAGAAGTAAAAGGTTATGGTGCTACAGAACTTATAGTCTGTCTCGTTTTTTAAATGGAGTAAAATGAGATTGTCAGAGTTGCCAGTTTAGTAAAATTTTAAATAGTCATGTAATATCGAGTTCTTAGGTTTTCGCGATTGTTACACATAGGAAATGATACTATTTTTCCGGATTTAAATCGCGTATATTTATTTTTACAAAGTAAAGTAAAGGGCCCGAAACGTTGGTTTGTTTGAAAAAATAAATATACGCCATTTAAATCCGAAAAAATACTTTCATTTCTTATAGTCATGTAATGATTACTAACTGCGTTATTGTATTCTTTATTTTCATTTTGACAGTTGATCTATTAGTATTGAAATCAATTTTTAGTCATACACATTTCAATAACCATAAGCGGATTTGACTATGTGTATTAAATTCTAATGAAAAATTTTAAAATATGTCTCCTATTTGTATTTTTTATACACACACTGCTAAATTTAGTGTATGTATGTACGAATTCAAAAATTAACAATTCAACGTAACCTGTACCCGATAGTTGGACGTATAATAGGCCGATGGTGTATCAAATGAAACAGGTTCGTATTATTTATTTCATAAGCGTAACGTCCATTCGATATTATATTATCGACTGCAATCACTACCTGCTTGCTAGTGGACAACATTTTTGTATAATGAACTGTCATTTTACTCCATCTTCCAAAGAGACTGACTATACACAACTTCTAGAATTGATTCCCATGTAAATGTAAATCGTGTAAGCCGATATCGAAGCTGAGGGAATAGATATTCTTATTATATGATATTATATATTCATTCCATTTAAAAGGCTTTTAAAGTTTATGTCAAAATAGATATTCTATATATTGTTAAACTCATCTTCTATATTCTGCGCTTGATGGATAAGGAGTAGAAGGAGTGGCGTTCCTCGTGAAAAAGTTCGTCCAGGGAAGTGCTGCCACCTTACCCATTCTTGCTGTCAAGCAGTAATGTGAGCATTACTACGTTCCGGTTTCGAAGTGTAAGGGTGCTGGTGAATTTACAGGCACATGGGACTTGTCAATTTATGTTTCAGAGTGACAGGCGCAGTGCTCCTCAGATCTTTGCGATTTAAAGTTCTATAGACAGCCGTGGCGCTTACCACCACGCACACGTTTTGTTCGTCAAGTCAGTTGGTATCATAAAAAAGGGCCCTAGAATTATCCACACCCTTATAAAGTGATTAAAATTGTAACTTACTTTTGTATGGTGAATTTTTCTTAGTCATGGTCTCAACGATTCGTGTCCCGTTTGTAACGATTTTCATTAATTTTTCATAAGTAAGAGATTCATTCTTGTCTGTCACTTCCTCACGGATGACGATATCCAGAGATTTGGCGTATAACATCACCGAGTCGTACAAGTAGGCGGCGTATATGGAGACATACTGGAAAAATATGATTCTATTATACACACTTTAAAAGTGTCAAGGGATCAAGCACATATTTGCCAATTACTGAAAATCTGGTACTTTTAATTTTATTTTTTTAACACCAATGGTATTGATCAGTCAATTTCATATTTTAAAAAATATACAAAAAGAAATTTCATTTTAATATGGTAAAGGAATATTAAAAAAACCTAGATCCCTAGGTACTTATCACAGACCACATAAATACTAGTAATGACTGGTTAGTGGGCGGGGTCCGCGTTACCTAGCTTATCACCAGACGGGCATCGTGTCAACAGCGCGTCAGTCGTGGTTCAAATGTGATACATGATTATTTTGTGGAAAAAATAGAAATATGCCATTATATTATGTCGCGTAAGAAGCCAAAGTTTAAAAAATACTCCGGGAGTGATTTCCTTCCATCGGTAAATACTAAAAGTCTGTATTTTCTAACATTTTGAACAATACAGTACAGTATAGTAAATTTCGAAACAAAACAATTTTCCTGCAATTCGGTAATAACAATATACATTGGTTGCTAGCCATCGCCGCCGTCAAAAGAACAATTCCAATGACGCTCAATGAATTGCTTGCACTAGTGTCGTATTACACTTAGTACTGGGTCCGCATGTTGTAATCAAATTATCGATATGTAGAAACTCTGTATTTAGAAACTCGGTTTTGGTTTACTTCAACTTTTTTTTTATTTTAGCGGTACCAATGTGTAAACATAAATTGTTTACAGGTATTTAAAAGCTAACAATTTTGATTACTTATATGCTTGGTCCCAACACTCGCAATAGTTTTTTTTAAATTTTCAATTTAACTAAAAACGATGTATTAATGGAAAAAAGGAAATATAGATAGAAGAGGTACAATGTCGATAATTTTACAATGCACGTAAGTTCGTGGAGTATCAAATGAAGACTTTATGAGATTGGAGATTTTCTTTCCCTTATCTACATGATTCCTATCTCCCTACTTGCTAATTATACGTCACCTTTGTCCGCTTGAGTTCTTAGTTTTATCACAGGCATGATTTACATTTACAGTTTTTGTATTGATTTTTTTAGTTTCCCGCCGGATCCTTTTTAAAGGAGAAATGGGCTGAAGCAACAGGCAGTAAAAGCTGGGTACCTACTATATGTAGCACCATTTGCTATAGGCATTTCATGATATCACTTTAAATTATGTACATATGAGTAACAACCACTTTTACTTTTAACTGCCTCTGTGGCCGAACGGTTACCATACTGGACTGCCCCCGGGTTCGATTCCCGGGCCGGGAGAAATATTTGTATGGCCTACATTTATTTCTCTCGTGAGTTTGGGTGTAATTTGTAGTTGTCTATGTGTGTCCATGGCACCCGCGACACGGGGTTTCCCTAGTGCGGGGCTATGTTGAGTGTGTGCGTTATTATTATGTGCGTTATTATTATGTGCGTTATTAACTAAAAACTTCATTAAGAAATAAATCATTTGGTTAATCAGGTAACATATGACATGAAACTCGCATTCACAAATTATAGACAACATCTAAATGTGAAAACATTTCTGAAGCATTATTTTTCGTCAAGTTTTCAGGAAACAAACGATTCGCTTCTTCGCCTTCGGAAATAAATATATATATTTTCTTGACAAGCTCGTCGACGCTAAAGGTCTAGTCATGTTCAGTCAGTTCAGAAAGAGGTAATTGTTGCCCATATATATTATATTTCAGGGAGAATAAAGATTTTGATGATGACTGTGTTTTAACATTTCAACCCTTCCAGTGATCGGATTGACTTGAAATCTAGTAGGTTAATGAAATTACGGTGACAGTATAATAAATCATTAATACTGTGATTGTAGCATGTAGCTACGTCTAGGCACGCACACGCCTGCGTAGGTTATATCAATTAATATTTGAGTGTAGTAAAACCTTATGCGAATTTGGTAACAAATGTGTGCGTGTAAAAGTCAGCTAGGCTAGTTCTCGAAGAAATTGCTTTAAATGCCGTTTCCATATACTCCCTGGTTAACTCTAAACATCGAATATATAACCAGAAATAGAGACGAAATAAGGGCCATATATTACTGGTAACACATTAGCGATACAGCTCTTATAAATATCAACTCTCGTTTGCACTGATATATAGACAGGCCAACTACTGACCTGTATGTACGACTCCGTATATTCCAAAAAATATTCTGTATTTATTGTAATAAAGATAATATCTCTAACAATGCCTTGCTGTTCTATTCGGTGGTGTAGGAAAAATAGCAAAACATCAATTACAAAACAAACGGAATCACATTTCATCGGTAATTAAATATTAAACATGTAATTTTGCAATTTTCGTCCATTATAGCAAAGCTCAAGTTAACTGGTCGATTTGAAGTGAAACAGTTGACGACACCCATTGACGACACCCGCCAATTGTTTCGAACTCGCGCTAGCCAATCGAAGCGTAGTTGTCACAGTAATGATATGGCAGAATAGTTTTCAAATAAATTAAATGGCATTTCGTCTCTATTTCTGGTTACATACTCGATGACCCTAATTATAGCAAGTGTAAAGCAATGCCTAGTTCAATATTCCGCTAGTTATGAAACATAATGTCGATATCAATTAAATGTCACATCCCTATCTGTAGATTGTCAACTTTTTGATTTTGTTCCAAAAAGTTTGTGTTCATAGGATTCTTAGCTTTTATGTGACTAGTAATAATAAAACCTTATTAGATCCAAATAAGTATCAGTTTTTTTACCAAAAGTTTTTTATTATTGTCTATTTTCGTTTGATAATTTATAACCAATTAAAATTATGTTATCTTAGTACTAATGTAAGATTACGTTTTCAAATGTGTGGCGACACCGGTTTTGTTGCTTGATGCCATTTCCATTCTCTTTTTTCTTCCGTGGTACTTATGACGTGTGTAATATTTGCCTAATATGAATGTTGTGTACAATTATAGTTGGATTTCAGATTTATAATTTTATATAAATAGTAATACTTCGACAACCTTAGTGGCCTACCGGTTTACAACATAGGTGCTGGATGAGGATGTCCCGGGTTCGATTCCCGGTAGGACCATTTTGGGAAATTTTCTACATTCATTCTGGTCCGAGTGTTCTGGGAAGTAATAACGCACACACTCAACATAGCCCCGCACTAGGGAAACCCTGTGTCGCGGGTGCCATGGACACACATAGACAACCACAAATTACACCCAAACTCACGAGAGAAATAAATGTAGGCCATACAAATATTTCTCCCGGCCCGGGAATCGAACCTGGGACCTCTGCGTGGCAGTCCGGCATGGTAACCGTTCGGCCACAGAGGCAGTTAAAGTGCCCGAGAATTCCGCTACTCTGGTACAGAGAACAATAGTACAGAGAAATTCCTAGTTAGACCAGGCAATTGATGTGGTTGCTAGAATATTATTATTATTTTGGACATCGATTTGCAACAGTGGAGCTCCTTGTGAAAAAGTTCGTTTAGGGAAGTACTACCACCATACCTATTTCTGCCGCCAAGCAGTAATGTGAGCATTAATGCGTTCCGGTTTGGAAGGGTAACTTGTCAAATTATATATCAGGGTGACAGGCGAAGTGACAGTGATCCTAAGATCTTTGCGACTAAAAATTCTAAATGGCACTGCAACTGTTATGGATAGGCGTGTCGCTTATCACCAGGCGCTCGACTTGTTCGTCCCATCACTTAGTATTATAATTATAAAAGTTATAAAAATTTAGGCTCTAGCTTCTCCCATGTCCTAAAAGATTAATTTCGAATTTTTAAATGGAAGAGGCGTGGTATTATTATTAGTTGTAAGTATTATTTGTAGTATAATATAAATAAATAAATATCAGAGTTCATAAGGTTGCGGTGATTGCTACAATTTTTTTCGGATCTATTTGTTTTTTCAAACAAACCAACATTTCGGGCTCTTTGCAGCTCCAATATAAATAGTCACGGCTGGCTATAAACTAAGGTCATGTTAGTTATCAATCAGTTATTTTTAAAATTATTGTAAACCAGCCTATTCTAAATTATAGTATTCTAAAACTACCTTCTTTTCAATTAACTAATGATCATATTCCAATTAATGTCACATACGATATGCCAAATGTTAAAAAAAACATTTCCCAGGTTTAGTTATTATATCGATATCAAGTAGATAGGTAAAATGACGCTTTGGTTACCTTATTAAAGGAGTTTTTCTCCAAAATCTCAGGCAATTTGAACTCAAATGGTTTCAGCGTATTGTATAAAGATACGCGTTTGGTGAAATTAGCGTAGGACCCGGCTGGCTCAGACGATACAACCACGAGTAGTGATTGTGCCCGGCGTTTGAACTCTGCACTTGTTGGACAAACTATTTTTGAGCCTCGTTCTTCCGTTTCTGTAAACCGAAGACGATAAATTAGATTGAAACAATAATAATAATAATAACCTTAAGTATTATAGACTTTCAAGACAAATATTGGGCACTTAAATTACTAGCACTTTACAGTGTTTGAAAGCAATGTACTTGTGAATTATAAAGGTACTTGTATTGTTTTTGTTTATATACAAAACGTTCCTTCATAGCTGTTAAATTGGCTTTATTTGTAGTACCTTAGATCATAACTTATACAAGTTGTATCCAAAAATTATCATGTTATTAAAAGAAAAAAACACCCTAAAAATTTTCCGGCTGCGCGCATTTTGTATGCGTATTTATTTTTCGCTAATTAAAAAGATATTTTTATAAAATGATCTTCATTATCGTCAAGTACTGTCATCAGCTGAATTCTGTACGAGCCATTTTGTGAATTTGTATACAGCGCCTAACCCTCTTAAAGACCCAGCAAAGTACAATGAAAAACGCTAAACGCCCAATGTACGGACAACGGCACATCAGACTACACATTTTTGTTCGAAAATCGCCCCATTGCAACGGAACAAGATACGTCAATGTGTAGCTTGATGTGCTGGCGTGTGTACATTAAAATGTGCTAAATATCCAAGCAAGTTTACAAGACTCAAAAAAAGGTCAAAACAAGTCAGTTTTGTATGGAAAACTTACATTATGGTCACATAGAACATAACACTTAATTTTAATACGGTGTTTTTTTAATCGACTTGAAAAAATCTCCATTCTCAATTCGACTGTTTTTTTATGTATGTTATGCGATAACTCCGGTGAACCGATTCTGATGATTCTTTTATGTTGAAATGAGGGTACCTCAGTAGTGATCCCATTTAAATTTGAAGAAAATATTCCACCTCTAAGGGTGGCAATCTGGGATGTCCCCCAAATTTATCAATCAGGTTTCGCGCACTTTCTGGTAACCTACTTCAATAAACTTGGCAATTAGTTGTGATTCCACGCACTTTTGAGGTCGGTTTTTTTAATACTCCGTACTGAGATTATGCAAAGTGTGCGTCACTTGTCTAGATTTCCCATGGTCATATAGAACATATAGCGCTTAATTTGAATGAGATGTTTTTTAATTACAATGTACAATGGGCGTCAAGTAATCGTAGAAATAATATTACCTGGATCTGAATAACTTCACATATTAAGTACATTTTTATGTACACAGGATCTTAGTAAGTTACATATTTATTAAACATACCACTTTTATCATGACTTTACAGTGTGAAGGTCGCTAACCACCTCGTGACTGTTACCCGTTTTAGACTATTTGCTAGCGACACCAATACAGTAGAGTCATCGTAGATGTACATATTTGTTTTACCGCATGTTTTGTGTACTACAATCAATGGATAAACCAACATTTGCTATCATGTGACATGCATTGCAATACTATTGAGTCATACTTTATCTACTTACTCATCAAATACTTAAGTGATTCTCTGTCAGGAGAGTAAGTCATCATATCGACGAAGATGACCATGTACTCTCCTTTCGCGAAGAGCTTCAGGGATTCCATAGCAGTCATCATGTCGATGAGCCCTTGCGTTGAGCCAAGGAACACGTAGACTGTAATAAAGAAACAAAATATATTTTGCGCGTAAGTTTTGCATGAAAAAAAAGCAACACGGACGCTACTGCAAAAAAGTCGTTAAAAAAGTAAAATAAAAAAAAACATATGCAATAAAGCACAAAGAAAGATTCTGCAAGTCTGCTAGTTATCACGGAACGCCGTGGCTTAATGTCAGTGTCTGGCACGGATTGCCTGAGGGCGCTGGTTCGAAACTAGCCGGATCGAATGAAATTTTCTTAGTGTTTCGATATTTGTTATAATAATTATAGCAAACTAGTGCAGTAATTTCACAAAAAAATATTGAATATCATGGTAGTAAAACATCGTCGCAATCAAAAAACTTAAAAATTACAAAAAAAGTAAAGTCAAAAACTTGAACAGTAAACTTTGTGAACCAGAAGCCACGGTTGTACAAACTCAAATAATCTTTATTTCATAGGTAAACAAATTTACAATTGAAATCGTCACAATGATCATTCATAAGGCAGATTCCCCTGAGAAGAATGAGGAAGAAACTCTAGGAGTTGCACTTTGTAAATGAACATTGGTATACATTTGTCATTTACAATATTTATTTCAAATATCAACAACCTGCAAGACCTAAACAGGTCACTATCACGGATTTTTGTCATCCAAGTACGCAGAAGCAGTATAATAAAAAATAAACAAATATTAGACAACACAAATGTTGCTCTAAAGCACTTGTGTTATGGAAATCGGTAACAACGATGGTACCACAAACACCCAGACGCGAGATAATATAGAAAAGTCAGTTTTCTACATTGACTCGAACATGGAATCGAACCCGGGACCATGAACACCAGTGCGCAAGCCCCAAAAACCTTTGCAAAGATTTATTGCATTCGTAAATGGTAAATTTTGAATTTCAACCGGAATCTTATAATGGAAGCGTATACCCTCCCCCTTAAATAAATTTGTGACTTTCTGAAGACGGCTGTTAAGAAGAGTCTGTCTATTTTTATTCCTCGTATTAATACTATGCCATAATATTTTTAACATAAATTAATACAATTTATGCATAGTGCTGTGTGCAGAAGATCGTGTGAACTTGCTTAGGATTTTATAAGAATGATTTATTGCGTTATCGCCGAGACGCACGTACGCTTAAAACTATACAAAATTCAAAATTCAAATTCAAAATAATCTTTATTTCATAGGTAAGCATTATTACACTTGAAATCGTCACAATAGTTAAACTCTACCGCTCATTCGTAAGGCAGATTCCCCTGAGAAGAATGAGCAAGAAACTCTAGGGGTTGCTCTTTGTAAATAACATTTACAATATTTTTTTTTTATTTGAGACATCAGAGATCGAGACTACCTCCATGAGCTAAACGGGTTACTACCACGGATTTTTGTCATCCAAGTAGGCAGAAGTTGTATAATAACCTTTAGTATAAAGTTTTTGTTTCACTATAGTTTTAAACCTCGTGAAAGGCAAATTTTGTATATCAACCGGAATCTTGTTATAGAAGCGTATACATTGCCCCTTAAATGATGACTTTGTGAAGACGACTATCAAGAAAAGCTAGTTTATTTCTATTCCTCGTATTAATGTTATGTCTGTCACTATTTTTCATAAATAAATTACTATTCCTTTTAACATAAATTACATTTTCATAAATGTGAGGCTAGTGTAAGAATGTTAATTTCCTTAAACTTATCTCTCAAAGATACTTTGGGGCCCAGATTGTAAATTTCACGTTTCTGCAGGACAAAGATTCTATTGATATCGGCGGTATTACCCCAAAGCAAAATGCCGTATGTCATTAGACTGTGAAAGTAGCTGAAGTAAACCAATCTAGCGGTTTCGACGTCTGAAAGTTTCCTTATTTTTTTTATCGCGTACACTGCAGAGCCGAGCCGTTTTGATAACTTACTTATATGGGGACCCCATTGCAATTTAGCATCTAACGTTATACCTAGAAATACAAATAAGAAAAGAAATACAATACAATAAACATAAACACATAAAAGTAATTTGCATACGCATGCACCAGTTAAACGCACAACAATAGTAAAAATAAATGCATGTCACAGCCCACGCAAACGGGCCTTGCTCAATTTTTAACTATGGATAGAAAATTCGACTTGTAGCACTGGTTTTCAACAAATCATGTTGGATGGTCCAGCTTTCGGGAGACCTATAGCCCACAGTGGGTGAAGGCGACCTGTCAATGATAATGACGATGATACTATGATATAGTAAGAGTAAGTCAAATCACGCAATCTCAATGCTGGAAAAGAATCGCCATAAGATAATTTTAAATTATTTTTTTGTGAAAGGTGCCGTTAGTTCCTTATATCGGGAACTTTTTATCAGTTTTACCACTTTCTCGCGTGGCATATTTGAGGAAGGAATTATCTACTTTGTTTTTGATAATAAAGTAGTTAATCTCTTTTTGTAAATCGGTCGAATCAGTACATTTGATATTACGTGAACTAACTGAATGTGATCCAATCCACACGTAAGTATTAAAAATCTGTTTTTGGCGGTTTAAATGTCGCTCAATGTTAAGACACTAAAATCAGTTGTATCAGTCCGATTCCATACTAATTAGGCATTCGAGTTTCATTTAAATATGATTTTATTGCCAGACATAGACATGCCTTTAGTACAATTTGAAAAATCTAATGACTTTATTTTATTCAAACCTGCAATTATGACGTTTGAAGACGCTAAAGAATTCTTAATAGCAGTAATTTCGTCATTGTTCTTTGTACACAATATACTGTAGTTCATTATTCCACAACAGATGTAATAATAACTCAAGGAAAATCCATCTTTCTAATACAGCAGTTACATAAAGAATCTATAAGTAAACCAGGGTTATGATGACTGGGAATCCATAGATTATTAACATAAAGGCGACCGAAAAACCAAATACGTACACTGTTTACATGTTTCTTACATTAACGTGCGGAAAGAACAGCAAAGAATATGACGTCATATAAAAAAAAAACAAGTAGAGTGAGCATAAGCGTGGTTACACACGGTGAGTTTTAGCAGCGATGCAAACTCGCGATTTATAGGCGATTGCATCGATGCAAACGCGCGATTGCAGCGACACAAACGCACGATTGCATCGATACAAACTTGCGATTGTGTCGATACAATCGCCTATAAATCCTAAACGTAGTGATGCAATCGCGCAATTGCATCGATACAAACTTGCGATTGCGTCAATACTATCGCCTATAAATCCTAAGTGTAGCGATGCAATCGCGCGTTTGTATCGATGCAGTTGCGCGCTTGGATCGCGTTAGCATCGCTGCTTAAAATCCCGCGCGTGTGTAAAGGTGTAGTTATATAAAAACTGGATAGGTACTGTAGAAATCGTATATCAGTATTTATGCCTTCTTTCTCTCATGGCAGCTGGCTATTTTTATCTGAATTTAAATCTGTGGAGTAGCTGTTATCTTACCTATCGTTTTGTGGCGCATATAGTAAGTAAGCAAGATCGAGGATTATTAATATAACCATACTCTTAGCATATCTATATATATATATATATATATATTCGTATATAGCATTGATAAAAGGCGCGTAACTGCACTAAACCAAATTTTACGGGCGTGGATTTTAACGCTTTGTTATTTCAATGGCTACGACTTTCATTTTCGCACAGAAAGCATTAATTTACGACATTTATGCAGATTTGAATTGGCCACTAAAGTATCGAAATAAAAAATCGTAATCCAATGCTAGTTACGCGTAATTGCACAATCCCCGACGATATCCTATTAAATAATATAAAATGTGTAATTTATTTTCAGATCCCAACTCTGTGGTCTTTATTTCAAATCACCACCACATTACAAGCAAAACTAGTAGATACATCGGAATGCATACATTTTAGTTTATCGTAGTTTTTCATGCAGTGTGCCGAACAAATTAATAGTATTAAATAAAAAAATACTAACTTCGAGTCCTATTTTTGGTGTCCTGCACGAACTGATACCAAAACCCGGGCGCACAACAAGGTAGTTTTTCCTCACAACAGCGAAACGCTTCGACAACATTTCGCTGATGGTTCACTGTCATATTGTTCGCCTTCGCGTGGTTCTCCAGAATCAGGGCCACACGTTCCCATGGATCTTCGTAAAGTATTGAGAACTTGTGCCATCTGTAATATCTCAGTAGAGATATAACAGATTTAGTTGCCTGGAACAGGTAGAGCCTCTATTGTAAATAAATAATAAATTAGTAATTAACAAAAAATCTCTACTTAAATCTTAAAATATCATAGGACGACTGTATTGACTGATTAACCTATTTTAGAGTTTAATTACATTGATTGACGTGTTTTGTATACGACATACCTTTTCACAGTGTTGTCAATATCTTTCTAAAGAAGGTGAGGGCATCGTAAGTGCGTAAAGTCCAAGATATAGTTTTGATAATATACCTGAGTGTTTTGCGGCTCTAGTCGAGCGAAGTTGGGCGGTGAAGACGTTTGATAGTCGGAACATTTCTGTAAGTAAACAAATAAAAAAATATTATTATTAATCTACCTTTTTGTATGTTTTGTATGACATTATTTTATTTTGTCATATATTTATTTTTATAATATGGCGGGACGAACAAGCCGTGCGCCTAGTGGTTAGCTAAAAGCCGTCCATAACTGTTGCAGTGCCACTCAGGGCTTTAAATCGCAAAGATCTTAGGGGCACTGCCCCTGCGCCCGTCACCCTGAGGCATAAGTTGACAAGTCCCATGTGCCTGTAATTTCACCAGCAACCTTACCCTTAAAAACTGGAACGCAGCTATGCTGACATTACTGCTTGACGGCAGAAATAAGTAAGGTGGGATTAGTACTTCCCTGGACGAACTCTTTCAGAAGGAGCTCTACTGCCCTTTTAATTACCTTATTTCATCAATAATTATGTTTTATCGAAATAAGAAATTTAAAAAAAGGTATTAACGGAACACTGATTGGCGGACGCCATTGCGAAAGACATCTTTGACGAGAACGGACGTAGTTTTGTTTTGTTTGGATTTATAGTGAAAAGACATTATAATATAATTTATAACGTCACTGGAGTTTCATTTCCATGTGTACTACGAAGATCTCATATCATCGCCTTAGAGTGAAAACCTCGCATACGCGTTTTCACATATTTGGTTTTTACTGATATTTATTGAAGAAAACTTCTTTACTCAAATTTATTATTAAAGTAATATACACACATCAAAAGTGTCTAGGGATCAAGTGAATATTTTTGAAATAAAAATTATTTAAGCAATATTTACCAAATCCAGTCTTCCAGGACGACTTCTTACTTTAATGCTTATGTTTTATTTAACCGCTTACCCCTATATTTAATTAAAATAAACTAAAATTGATGTTTTTGCAAATCGTGGGAAAAAACTCAAATTAACGGCGTCAATTTTAACTGCCTCAGTGGCCCAACGGTTACCATGCCGGACTGCCACGCAGAGGTCCCAGGTTCGATTCCCGGGCCGGGAGAAATATTTGTATGACCTACATTTATTTCTCTCGTGAGTTTGGGTGTAATTTGTGGTTGTCTATGTGTGTGTCCATGGCACCCGCGACACAGGGTTTCCCTAGTGCGGGGCTATGTTGAGTGTGTGCGTTATTAATTAAATGACAAAAAAATGGCGAAAATGATGATTTTGCTCATTTTTATTGTAAAGATAAGAAAATTAATAATCTGTATTTCCACCATTAACACGAATCACACAATTACAGCGATTTGGCATGCTTAAGATGAGTTCATCAAAATCACTTTGAGGAATGGCCGCCCATGTGTTTTGTAACAAGTCAAAATATTGTTGTAGAGTATGTACGGTATGCATACTCGGCACAGCTCTTCTTTGAAGCATATTCCATGCGTGCTCAATTGGATTGAGGTCTGGCGATTGAGCAGGCCACGGCAGAACGTTGATACGAGCTTCGGCAAGAATGCGTGTTACGACTCTAGCCGTGTGTGGACGTGCGTTGTCATGCATTAGTTGAAATGAATCACCCAACTGGCCTCGCAAAGGGATGATAACATCTGAAACAATCCTCTCTGCGTAAACTCGAGCATTGAGGTTACCCCTGATCCAAATGAGATCGGTTCTTCCGCCGATCCAAATACCGGCCCATATCAATAATGATACAATAATGTTCCCCCACCATATGGATGAACTTCCTGACAATATCTCAAACGTTCATGACGTCGAGATGTTCTTCAAACTCGAGTACGTCTTGTATCCGGTCTCATACCGAAGCGGGATTCATCCGAAAAGCACACATAGCGCCAGTCTTCTTCCTCCCAGTTTCTGTGTTCGCGAGCCCATCGTAAACGGGTCCTGCGATTGCAGGGTGCAATAGGTGGAACTCTGAGCGGCCTTCGGGATCGCAGACCCACTTCACGTAAACGATTTCGGATTGTTTGATCGCTTATTAGCAAGCCTGAGGAGCTGTGGAGCCTCGTAACCAACATCATGGCGGTCATGGTACGATTCCGTCGAGCAGTATTTTGGATATACCGGTCCTGTCTGCGAGTCGTGATGCGAGATCGTCCTCCATGTCGCTCGGCCACGCTGCCCGTCATGCGATAGCGCGTCCAGAGGCGACTTATGACGCTCTGTGTAGTGTTAAGAGTGAAAGCCACAGCACGTTGCCTGGAACCAGCTTCCAACATTCCGACGGCTCGCATCATCACTTCTCGGGTTAAATGATGTCGTCTCTCCATAATAATGTAAATTGTTTCGGTTCCGATGCAGATATTGTAATGATTTTGTCAAAACGCTATAACTCATTTTTATACAAAACCACATTGACAATCGATTTTCTTCTTATTAGCGAATTTTAAACAATATTCCTTATTTAAATGTTAAAACTCACTAAAAAGTATCAATAGCGATACAAAAATGTTAATATAATTAACCCTAATTGCAGCAATACTCTTAAACGTACTTGATCCCTAGACACTTTTGATGTGTGTAGTCATTGTGTAGTATATGAAATAGGTATAATGTAAATAATTAAAATGCTAACTACAAACATTATTGCGTTTACTACATTTCACACCACATTTTTATCTTCGTCCTGAGAAATTACATAGAAATCACATACGAGGTTTTCACTCTAAGACGACGATATGAAGAACCGACGGAGAACGAAAACAAGAAACAGTTAAAGTATTAAATGAACCAGGAGCCAGAGAGCGTTCTACAAAAGCTGCAGGTAGCTTATTCCAGATACGTGGCTTGATCGGAACTGAAAATACAACAAACTAAAGCCTTATGGCTCTATCGTAAATAAAATAAATAAGTATGACTTACGTAAGAGATCATGGGCAGATTCCTGGACTGAGCAATAATAGCCTCAGTATAACAGTTGCCCTCGGGACCAAAGAAGGCGACCACACCGGCGCAGCTCATATCGGTGATGTAGCGCGTCGCCACCACAGTGTCGCCCATCGTGTCGGTCCATTGCAACAGCAGCTCCACTTCCGGCAATAATGTGGAATCGTTGTTCACCTACACGCGAAAATATAATTTAGTTGCAGCTGCCAAGCTAACGCGCTGACAAGTTGTTTTTGGACCCTGTAATAGTGGTGCTGGCATTGACTTTTTTAAATAATACTGCCTCCGTGGCCGAAAGGTTTCCATGTCGGACTGCCGGGCAAAGGTCCCAGGTTCGATTCCCGGACCGGAAGAAATATTTGTATGGCCTACATTTATTTCTCTCGTGAGTTTGGGTGTAAGTTGTGGTTGTCTATGTGTGTGTCCATGGCACCCGCGATACGGGGTTTCCCTAGTGCGGGCTATGTTGAGTGTGTGCGTTATTCTTATTCTTATTCCCTAATTACTTATATGTATGTACAGATAGGTCTATAAAATGTAGTGAAAAGTTAGACAATTAGTTATTTATATATCTTAAGAATATTGTAATAAAACCCACGCTTCGAAGACATTATTTATGTAAGTACTCAAATGCGACGCGGGTCGTCGCGCGACGGCGCTCGCATTAGTGCGTCTGGATCGCACTGTGGTCGGTGGAGGTGGGCGTTTAAACGAAAAGCACTTAAAAAAGTCTGCTTTTTAAAATTTGTGTATGTACGCTTTTTATTTTAAGCATAAGCGTTGGTCACTGGCCAGTTCTATGGATACTCAATAATTTCATTTTTTACAACGTGCCTAAGTTTCAAGTAGCGCCATCTATAATAGGTAATAGTATTATTTAATAGGGTACAGGTAGGGGACTTCAAAAAAAGGAGGAGGTTCTCAATACGTCTGTATGTTTTTTTAATGATTGTTACCCTATAACTCAACCGAACCTTATAACATAACTGAACCGATTGAGATGACTCTTTTTTTGTTGCAAAGAGGGTACTTCAATAGTGGTCCCATTTAAATTTGAAGAAAATATTCCACCGGTAAGGGGGTGGCAAACGTTTTCGCGCATTTTCCGGTAACCGATTGCAATAAAACTTGTCAAATAAATGTAATTCCACGAACTTTTCAGGTAGGTTTCTTTAGTAGGCACCTACTCTGTACTGATTAACGCACACACTCAGCCCCACACTAGGGAATACATAGACTACCACAAATTACACCCAAACTCGCAAGATAAATAAATGTATACAAATATTTCTCCCAGCCCAGGAATCGAACCCTACCTATGACCTACATTTATTTATCTCGGGAGTTTGAGTGTAACTTGTGGTTGTCTATGTATTCCCTAGTGTGGGGCTGAGTGTGTGCGTTAATCAGTACAGAGTACTGATGGACACACTCCATGGCAGCCACGGAACAGGGTTTCCCTTGTACGGGGTTATGCGTGTGTTCGCGTTTAATTTGGATTATAAAAAAAAATAGTCTACTTACTCCCTTTAAGTATTTACACACTTAACATAGCCCCGTTACTAGGGGCTATGTTAAGTGTGTGCGTTACTATATTACTATAGATTATAATGTAAAAAAAAAATATTTTTCCGAAAATAGCATTTAATGCCCAGACAAAAATTTAACAGCGACTGTCCCTTTTTAACTTGTCAGACGACGATGTAAGACAACAGTAGGTTGCAATTTTTTTTTTATAATATCAAGTGACGGGACGAACAAGTCGTGCGCTCAGTGGCGGATTTGCAACCTTGGCCGCCCTAAGCCCCAGGTCACGTAGACATATCAATATTTAATACATAAAATGTACGAAAGTGATTTAGAAAAATTATTGTTATACGATGCGCTACATTGCGGCCCGCCATAATGTGCGTGAGCCTTTAGAATGTTTAGGTACTTGTTATTTTTTATTATCATCAGTGAATGTTTTGTCACGATTGGCCGCCCCCGAAATATGGCCGCCCAGGCCTAATGGGTCTTAGGGCAAATCCGCCACTGCGTGCGCCCGATGATAAGCTACATGCCTGCACATAAAAAAAGGATTTCTACTAATAAGAAAGAGCAATTACTCAAAATATTTGCTAATTCTGAAAAAATATTTATTAAAAGTAATAAAATATTGTCATTACAAAGATACTGCTTAACTTTTTCTAATACAATTTTACTCTTAACTTTATACTAACTTTGAGACAAATACGTTCACTTCAAGATTTACGCCTTTGAGTACAAAACTTTCAAAGAGATTTCACTTGTTTTCTACTGAATTTGTACTAGAGACGATTGTACAAAAAAAATCAGTAAATTAACAAAAACATTCCTTTTAAAACATTTATCTTTGCATCTGTTTAAGAGCCAACCACTAAGATACATATATGGGTTTATTCAATAACGTTGAACGTCGATCTCAAAATAGCAATATGAACGGAAGTATTGATATGAATTTGTGTTGATCAAATATAGTGTATCGGTGGCGACACCTGTATTTCAGATTGTCTTTGTTTAGAGCGTTTAATGTAAGCAGGATTCTCGATATGGTTGTAAATGGACGTTATATAACTACATTTGTTTAAATGCAACCATTGTTATATACAGTAATTATAGTAAATAACTTTTTTAAAGGTGCTACTAGGTATACGATTCATAAATTTACAAAGCTATATATCTTTTTCGAGGTGTAGGTGTAGTTTAATATTGGCGTAGTTCTCGATGTACCTCTGCATTTTTCTAGAAATTCGAAATAATACATTTAAGTGGTACAGTATAAAAAACGTTGGTATACTGCTAACGGAAAAATATTAAGCATTCCTAGAGAATGGGATTACTGAGAATTATACCCTAATTCCATTGTACTTACGGCCTCAATGGCCATGGAGCACGCGCCGGAGATGGCAAGGCCCTGGCGGTCGCGAAGTTCGCCGCGGATAGAGGGCAGGTAGCCCACGGTGATGTTGAACTTCTTGGCGGCAAGCGAAGGCCCGGCCAATAGGCCCAGCGCCGCGAGCACCAGTACCCGCGCGCCGTGCCACATGCCGTCGCCTTCACCGGTCCACCCTCACCTGTAAAAAATAGTCAATATTGCCATATTTAGCCCCGTAGCCAGCCGGTGTAATACTTCACAAATCATCGAGCATGGACATGACAGTGAAAAGTAAAAGACCATGAAATTTAACATTTAATTAAAATAATTAGGTACATTCAACTGCAACTTACAATCAATTTAAGTTATCAAATGCTGAAAATGTTGCCATTCAGTTGTATACAAGCTCCTCACTCTTTTGATAATTTCATTTCTTGTGGATTTATTTGTCTTTTCATGGTGAATGTTTAAAATAATACATCTAAGTTCAGTTTGTAACTCCTGCACACTCTCATACGGGTTCCTGTGAACTAAATCTTTTACAGGTTCATTTTCCTGAACAAAATTTCATGGTCTTCGTTTTATTTAAAATGCTGTTATTTAGAAGAAAACAATCCCTATGATTGATCAGTTTAGTAAAATTACATGTTTTTTCCTATTTGGCAGGTTTGATACCCGGTTCAGACAGGTGACTATTTAAAAATCTTTGAATGCAGTTCGAATTGTTTTATAATCATTTTACAATAATTGTGTTTTATAATTAAAATCTTCTTTTAGTAAAATTTTCTCTACGGTATTTAAGATATTTTTCCTCCGTGTGGCATAGCCGTGAGACGCCCTTTAGGTATAAGTATTTTATGCAACAGGAAATTGTATCTTGCAAAAAAAAATTAGATAATGCATGTACATAAGGAAAACATTACACCATTTTCAACCACGAAGGTTTCAGAATGTGATTATTAAATTACCCATAAATAAAAATAATGTTTTTCGTTTGTGATTCAATATTTACAAACGACGACTACAGCAAACTTTGTAATCGTGAGATGGCAATCAACACAACTATCCTATACAGACAGTGTACAAATAAGGAAAAGAAATGCTCTACATACATAACATTTTATTTTCAAAAAATTGGTAAAGAAAACGGACCATATGGAAGTTAATAAAGATAATCAATAAGTAGTGTAATCCACGTCGGCGACGACAATAAGCGCGTCTATTTCTGTAACTCAATAAAGGGAAGTCTTCCTGCAGCGCTTTCCGCCCTTAAATGTAAGAATTGCTTCCACGCTGTCAAGTAAATAATTGGCTCGCAGCCGGCGACCGATTACACCAATTGAGTGCCGCTGTTTTGACAACAAGCCTGCCTTCTCGGTGTCTCCATTGCCTGCGTTAATGATCGCACAGGTACAGTCACAGACATGCTGTCATTTTGTAATCCTATCAGAAATAGATGTGTGAAAGTGACGCCAGTTTCACTGCACATCATGTCCGGGACAGCTGCGCAAGCGATGACAGAGCCTCGTGCCGTGCACCGTGTAGTGCCGCGCGATCTCGCCTTGAGATAACGTCAGCGATAACGCTCTCATCTAAAAATAGTACTTCGTAAAAAGGTACTATGAATCCGTTGATATTTGCCGCAAACGCAATTTTGCCGGCAAACAACAAATCATGAATGCAAAGTCTAACGAACATATAAAAACGTCATAATAAATCGTATTTTATTAAGTTAGCGTTGTGAGTGCTCCCTTTGTCAGCGGCTGAACTAATTAGGGTCGAGTTATAAACAGCTACAGATATCGCTCACAAACCTTTGCTTAACTAGATAGCGGGCTGGTCAGCTAGTTAGAAAAAAAGCACTAAATACTCATTCGGAAACATTGCGATTCTAAACATTCAAAGTGTAAATTTTGTATTTACTATACCATTACCATACCATACCTTGTGTAAATTTTGTATTTACTATACCATTTTATATATAACCATTACAATAAATAAATAATTACGATGAGACGTGTTAGCTCGCATCATATTTTTGTAATCGTTCATTTACGTCACGCATGTATTCAAGTAACCTCGACTTTGGTTACATATTTGCTAAGTTATAAATAGCATTCGAATACATAAAAGCAAGAGGCTGAATCAACGGTCAGGCCACTAGATATCCAGTACGACCAACGAGAATGGATAAGAAAGTGCACCGCGGCTAACAATATTGCATAACAAAAAATCTATGCCATTGCTTACACATTTTTTGTATATCAGATACCGAATATATTCGGTATCATAAAAGGAATCACGTAAATTTACACAAATATAATACTTTCAGTATTATCATCCTTATTTTTCCGTAAGCTGACTACAGCACCGTTCATTACAAAAAAAACATAATTAGTTTTATATTTAGAATGAGAACCTGATAAATAAATATTTAACGTTTTCCGTAATTGCTCACGATGTTATATATATTTTCAGAACCATACGTAGTATATTTTACTACAGAATAGTGCTCCTATGATAAAACTGAATTGTTGTAATAACTTGTAAAATACAAGTAAGAGGAACAATATAACAGGAGTGTAACTTTCGCTTTTTTTCAGGGCACAAACAAAGTCAACCCATAAACTACAAACAAATGCGAAAGGTCAAACGTGAGGGACAGGGGTGGGACCAAAAACACGTATATCATACGGTTTGTGCGCTTCTAATATAAAATGTTCAAGTGAAGAAATTTCCTTCTCTTCAAGCAGTTTTCAAATTCCTCGTCATGACGATAAAAATGTGAAGGTATCTTGCCAATTCGCAGTGCGTACGGCATAATAATGTAATAAGTGTTTTTTTCTCAGAAGCGGTCGGAATCTATTTTTGAAAACTATTATTTCTTTTGAGTTTATACGCTACAGACAACAACTGAATATATAATGATTATAGATACATTATAAAAACAGTGGGTTTTCTGTCGACACGATCAAGATTTCCGACGAGTTTTGTTGCACACCGGTTCATGATGATATCAAAAGATTGCTTTGTATGGACAGCGGAATAATAATTCACTAGATTGCAATTTCTCTAACTAGCTTCAAATGAAGCAAGCTACTAATAAATCCGCTAGAAATGACGTGAGCACTCACGTTTTCTTATCAATGAACCTTAACTGGTTCTGATTTATGAAGCAAAAAGTCGCACATGCACTGGTCTACCTGCGAAGATTTTTCTTCATTTATTTATCTTTTATTAACTTGTTTATAAATCTTTTGAAACGCGTAACAAGATTAACTAACCAAAAACTGCCTAACGGAAACGGATCGACGTTAATACCGTAATGTTGCATCAAGAAAAGGAATTGCGACAGGTTAAGGAATAGTAGAGTAAGGATAACAAGTAGGAAGGGACATGGCTTACGGCCCAACAATGTGTTTGCGGACGAATGAGTTCGAACGAAACGGCAGCGGATCCGTGGGGCTGACCGTGTGCTCAGTGCTCGGAATACTCACACCATGTTAATGAAATGTGTCGCAAGCGGAATAGTTCGCGACGCTATCGATTTCGCCAGTCGATGTTTGGCCTGCCGCTCCCGACCGCACCCACCTCTCAAGATAATAAAAATCGACCACCCCGCCTGCCACCGGCACACTAACACTATATTCTACCCGCTTATAATATCACGATAACGTGATCCAAGTTAGCAAATGTAGGCATATTTCACGAAACTAAACAATTATCTACGACTAACGTAGATAATTTTCCGATGTGCAATGATTTCGAATAAAATAAAAATTACAGGAAATAAAAGAAGAAAATAAGTGTTAAGTTAAATAAGTATTGAGAAAAAAGCCGTGGTAGCATGGTTTCACATACTGCCTCTCAAGCAGAGGGTCGCTGGTTCGAACCGGGCTCGCACCTCTGAATTTCTCTGAATTTATGTGCGAAATTTAATTTGAAATTTATCATGAGCTTTTCGATGAAGGAAAACATCGTGGTAAAACCTGCACGTTGAAGAAAGTTCACAATCCTTGGAAAACGTGTGAAGTCCCCAACCCGCATTGGGCCAGCGAGGCAGACTATGGCCTAAACTCTCGTCTGAAAGAAGATCCGTGCACTTTAGTGGTGATCACATTAGATCATTTAATGGTCGCAGTGATGAGGGCCCATACGCCCCAAATGAAGCCACCCTAATAAAAAAATACCCGTGCGCAGCAGTGAGACATATAATTGGGTTGATGATGATGATGAAGAAAAAACACAAACGTACGCGATTTAAATCCGGAAAAATAGTTTCATTTCCGATGATGATGAAGTTAAATAGTAATAAGTTTTCCAAATAAGTACTTGAAGTTATCCTTACATGGATTAGTAATTAAATTAGCGATGGTAAAAGTTCAGACACTCTGTGTGGAACACATAGACTGATACTTCCCCGACCTAAACTTACCATATTTGAAAACAGCTCATATTACAGGTCAATGGTAATATATAATAAGATCCCCTGTTATACAACACTTGAGAAAATTGAAAAAGTCTTCTCTAATAAAGGAGGAGGGACTTCACTCCTCATACAAAAGTGCTATTACTCAATAGAAGAATTTTGTAAGCAATACAGAGATATAATTTCCCTAAACTAATTTGTCATTAGTAATAATAATTAGTACATAAGTTCATTGATATATTGAGTGTGATTTATTAAAATTTTTATTATTTAAAAGAATTTATTAATTTTGTTGTGTAATTTTTATTTTTTTCATTTTTCTTTATTACTTTGATTATTTCCCGTGTTTAATTTTTAGCTACACCCTTACAGGGTACATGTATTGTAAATTTTAATATGTGCTTTACATGATTGCTAATGAATAAATACTGAAATACTGAATACCTATGAGCTATGCATTTTCAAAATACGTCCATAAAAATACTTAAAAAATTAAACGAACTTACATACACGGCTAAAACAATATTAACAATTTTATCTTCAGATTTAAAATTTGCTCACTAGCTGACTTGGCGGATGTGAAGCATGTGAAAAGAACGAGTAGGCGAATACTGAGGAGTTTGTTTTAACTAATAAAAGACACACACAACCGCTGGAGTCTCATTGAAATGTATAATTTGAATTATCCCCTCTTAACCGCAAAGTACGCACTACATGACGCATCCTTAGGGCACTCTAAGTAAATGTCAATATAATAAATAAATCCACGAATATTATTTGTCATGTTACCACAACAATGTTCAAAGGAAACAATAATAATATATAACAATAATAAGATCTACCTGATGTATCCATATAGCAAAACAATTTAGATAGGTAACACAGCGTTGAATAGGGTAACATAGGTAGGTGATACATAAGGGTGTAGCAGTAGTGCAACATAAACAAAGTAATCTATCAATATATAAATATATCTGGTATAAATAACACCATCATATCTGCAGATGTTATAAACTTATGATACTTTCCAAGGAACATACTCAATTTGAACAAGCTCTGAGTGGCACTGTACCTGTTACGGACAGGCGTGTAGCTTACCATCAGGCGCACAACTTGTTTAGTAAAAAACTATCTGAGTCCAGATGGCCCGACATTGTCGCAGGACACTGCGACTGGCATCTCTAACACTAGCCCAGAGCTAATAGAGAATAAGTTAGACATCCTCCGGTTCCTCCAGCCGTTTAGGTTATTGGGAACTGGAGAGACGTCGTTTTTCGACGATGAGAACTGAGCATGCCTTACAAATCCGCCACCAATGAGATTTGGTAATGGACTTAGAGTCGACGGTTTAGCAGTGGCAACGGCTAGTTCTGCAATGCGCAACAGGAAGTGAGCGTGCCTACAGCTCCGGTACCTATCTGGAAATTATGGAAGGTGCTGTATGTGCACCCGGGGCGGCCCACCCGTGGCATTAGCCTCTCAAGAACCGGATGAAGACAAGTGTCAGAAGTCTGTGACAACCCTGTACACTGGCTGTTCTGGGATTAGAACCTGAACTTATGACGTTCCTGTGCGCGCACAGATTATAGTGCCCTTCTCGTATACACTAAGGGTTGATAGGTAGGGTCAGTATGATCAAAAGTAATATAAAAAAATATGGGGCTATCTGTGGACAAAAAGTAGTTGACAGATAAATTTGAGTAACTACATACCTATCACAAATTTGTATGTACACATTGATGGATCACACAAAAGTGTATAGCTTGATGTGCTGTAGACTACCACACAACAAACGGCATATTGGTAATGACCATACCTAAAGATGATTTCTGGTGTTGTCTGGTTTTTCCAATATAGTTTAATATATAAACGTTTAATTTATACATATATATATAAATATTATAAATATTATATATATATATATATATATGTGTGTGTGTGTGTGTGTGTGTGTGTGTGTCTTCGTCTTATTTCAGCAATGCAATGTAAACCATTTTTATATTTAACTAATGAATCAGTAATTGCTTTTCACTGAATGTAACAAAATTCAAGTTTGTAGTTAATATTTTCTGATTCTAGCTAATAAACAATATTTATTTTCATTTTGTTTTGTACACTATTATTCTGTTTGTATCCAGATGTTGAACTTCTAGAAGAACACCTGGCAAGCTGCAGTTTTTTAATGTTTACAAGAATTTTTTGTATGTTTTGTAACAATGAACAGGCAAATAAGCTCATGAGTTTATGTTACATAATATAAATAACAGCCTATAGATGATCAATTGTATACAAATACACTGGAGATGACTAATAATAAAATACAACTTGTACTAATTTATTTAAGAATTGACGATTTTAAATAAAATACAAATAAACATGTACTATGAATGTCAATAATTATATATATATATATCAATAATAGCAGGGCATTCGAGTAATATACAATACCAAGATGTAGAAAGATTGTATTCCCTTAACTTGTATCGGGTATACTCAGATAAATATTAATAATAAAATAATGAATAATATAATAAACAATAATAATATTCTATCATGAATATAATAAAATCATATTTTATAAATAAAATATTAAGATAAGCATTACTTTACTTGCAACATCAGAGAATACAAAGTACCCAAAGTTATATCATCATCATCATCATCATCATCTCAGCCCGTTAACACCCACTGCTGGGTATAGGTATCCTCTTTTGCAAAGTTACATAAGGATGATAAATGTTTATAGTACAAGTATCAATATTCTTACTTCTACTAAGTATAATTTGTTATGTAAAATTGATTTTCGCGCTTCACTAAATACACCTTACAACATATTCAAAAATGCAAACCATTTCTTTCACCAATTTATAAAAGACACTATACTATAGAGAAATAACAGCAAACTGCATTCAAATGTATTATGAATATTTAGTATCAATCCTAAGGTAGTGAGAAGAGTGGCAATCTAAATTAAAATGCAAATTAATAAATTATAAATAGCAAACCTCGAAGTAAAACTGCAAATAGACTAATAGAACTTGTAAATGTCACTAGAATATCTCTAGCGATTGAAAACTTATCTAATAATTCCTCTACTGGAATTTTTTCATTTGTTCTTCCGATATCTAAAAGATACCATACTAGAAGTTAGTTTATTTTAAGATTTAGTAATCATTGTTTGTATGGAATGATTACACCTTCATTAAATTTTAATATTAATTTATCTACATTTCAAAAACTCATAATATTTTTATATTAGTAAAAAAGCTTCTAGAAAGCAGTGAAAACTTATAAGAAAAAAGTAGTAATGAAGTTTACTCACCATAAATATTACAGTTTCTTATCTGAAGTCTATTACTTCTCATAAATCCATGTTTTTCCCATCACTGAAAGTCCATTTCGATTACAAAACCATTAAATATTCCATTTTGCACCAATAAAAGTGTGTGTTCATAAGCAAATGTTTATAATGACATCAAGCTTCAATAGCACAGGCGGATTCTAAAAATACTTCAACATGATAAAACAGTTTGAGTGTGTTAAACATAAAGCAACACAATGATTACAATAAGTAAATGTGGATCGTCAATCCGGATTAACCACTGTAACACAACACATGTGTGGTAGCCCAGCGGTACACCGAATGAGTGGTGATAATACTACAATCAATGATCTATGGCGAAAATACCCAAATGGCAAACATCACCCCCACACACTCTAAGTATGTACTCTTATATCATACCACTGCCACATTCGCTACTATATGGAAACTACAGAATTTTTGTAACTTAGCGTATAATTGGAAAATTATTTATCGGACACAGGATATTCTCAAGACACTAAAAACTTTAACAGACACACACCAGGTAAGTAAACGTTTGTATTTAGATTATAAACGAGTATTTATATCATATATCATGTTGAAACAATGAAAACGACACTTATTTACTACGATATAACTAAATTTTACTTTACGCAACGCAAAAACTTGTTGCTTTTACAAACAATCGTCCATCCATCACTCGATTCATATGACAGTTCTATTTTTTTTTTTAATCATGGCTGCCAACCTATTGATGTATTTACGCCTCTTTTTTTAATATTCATGGCTTTGCTTTCAAATTAGTCAGTCAAAAGGTTAGGGATACGGAGTTTGAAATTATGGAAAGGTACCGAATTCAAATGAAAAAGGAACTCCTGGCAATCCCATCCCATTCTCTACCTAATTTAATGTATTTTTTGGAAAATGCACAAAATGTACAATTAAAAATCACATAAAAAATCCATAAGGACTTTTGATGTGATGTTTCTGAGATATATATATATTTTTCATATAATTGTAAATAGCGCTTTATAGAACAATTTTCTGTTCATAAAAAACGAAACTTAGTTTTCAAGAGAATCTCACCAAAATAAAATATGTATACTACTACGGAAAGGTGATGCTTTTTATATTCTAAAAAACACAAAAAGTTGAATGCCTTTTGAACCATCAATTTCCGGATCTCAGTGTGATAATCAAATCGGACGCAAATATTCAACCCTACCTCCTCAAGTCCTCATTTCGTTTTGACCATCATTTCCGGGCCACCCTGTGTACATAATGTATAGACCTTAATTATCGAAAATAATAATATCAAGGGTAGTGTTACATTTTAATGTCAAAATGTAATCATATTTTTTCCTTTAATTTAAAATGTTTATTGATCTAGAGCACATTTTACATTTTCTTAATATCAAAAAAATTATGGACAATTATAATCATTTGTACTTTGTATAAGTTTATTGTAACAGTACGTAGTTTTCTTTATAATCAGAGACAATTCTCCGCCGTAGCTGCTGGTGACATCAGTAGATAATATTGTCTCTTTTTTACACTTCATGTTAGATAAAGTAAGCAGGAGGATATGACGTTTACTTATTTGTTGACAACAAAATGTCATGAATTGGCTGACTGAATTGAGTCATCATTTGTGTTGAACACAAGAAATATTGTTCTAATTTGTGCACAAGAAGCTTGAATGTTGAACATTTTATAAGAATGTGTTGTTGAAATTGTTTCCCGTTTATTTATATATACTATAAAAATTGTATGCTATATTAGTTTAAACGATTTCACTAAACCAACAAAATGGGCAAAGGATTCAACAATTATATGTGTAAAAAGTTCTTTCATCCTGCCTCAAGAGACAACTTGAAAAGGGTTTGTTCATTAGGTTACACCTTATTTCGTTTAGTATGATAAAAATAAAGTGATGGTGTATAATGTGTTTTTCTATATGTATATTAACAATGTATCGTTTTAGGTATGGATGGCAGAACAAAAAACAGAGGCATACAAGAAAAAGCAAGAAGAATTACGTGTACAATATGAAAAGGAGCAAGAACTACATGAAAATAAGTCAGTTCTTCCAATTTTTTTGATCCATTATACATACTAGAGTATACAAATAGTATAGTTGTACATAAATCAATAGTTTCTTTTATCGATTCAAGTGTGAATACCGTTCAAGTTGATATATCGTAATTTCTTTATAGGGCTCTGCTGAGTAAAGATAGCAAGGATAAATTAAGCTTAAATTTTATGTATGAACCTCCACCTGGCGTGAAGAAAGAGCGTGAACGCGAAGACAATGAACCTGAGTACAAATTTGAATGGCAACGGAAGTACAATGCTCCCAGAGAAAGCTACTGCAAGGGTGACAATGAAATCCGTGATCAGCCCTTTGGTATTCTGGTCAGAAATGTCAGATGTATTAAATGCCACAAGTGGGGTCACATAAATACAGGTAGGTATTGTAGATATTAAAACTAATAATCACAAGTATAAACATGTTCTGATTGAAATGTATAATTATAAATTGATAATGTAACTGAATTAAAAAAAGTGACTCATTTTTGGCCTTTGAAGTGACCATTATGTTACATTTTGATCTATGTGTAATATTGACTGTTTTTGCAGATAAAGAATGTTTGATGTATTCCCTCTCAATGAGTGAGGCTCGTGCCTTACAAGCATCCACATCAACTCCTGAAGAAGAAGAAGCCAAGCCTGATGTCCCAACTCTTATGCAGCAGATGAGAGACACTGGTCTTGTAATGAAACCTGGTGCTTTGCCACTTGCTGCCTCTAAAGTTGAGGATAATGATGCCTCCAATCTCTCTGAAATGGATCTTATTAGTCAGCTGACTAAGAAACAGAAGAAAAAGCTTCTGAAGTAAGTATATGAATAATCACAGTTATAAAAACTGATAACTCAACCATTTTATAGTTGTAAAACACATTCAAATAAAATTATATCCTATCCTTTGTTTCTAAGCAATTGTATTACTTTTCATTCAGTGATTATGTTACATATAATAAAAAAAATATTGTGCATAATATAATTAATATGATCATACAATGTTCAATAAAATTGTTCTTTATTTCAGGAAACTTGAAAAGTTGGAGAAAATTAAGGATAAGAAGCACAAAAAATCTAAGCACTAAATACTGATTTTGATTAATTGTACCTGTGTAATTTTTTTTATTGTGTATTTAATTTTAAGAATTGTGAAAGTAAACAATTAGATTAATGATTAAATAAAATTATATTACTTGCATCTTACATAATTTTATCTTACATAAACTATACATAATATACAATTATGGAATTACCAAGCTAGCATATCACAGCAGTAAACTAAATGGATTTATGATTAGAGTTTCACATATGTCTTGTCATCAATCTCAACAATATCTTGTCGGTCATTTCTTTCCTTCCAGTGCAAATAAAGAACACATCCAGTAATTAGTACTATGACGGCAGTTAATACAAATACGCTCTTAAGAATAACTTTGCTTGGAGTCACAAACAACTGTGCTCGCCACTGTGATGAATCATCAGGTGGTGAAGGCACAACAACAATTTGTGAATTAGGAATTATCTGAGTCCAACTTTTAGAATAACCAGAAACACCAACATTCAAAGTATCAACAAAATTAGGTGTCCTATCTAAACCAAATATTGAATAAGGTAATTGCAAAGCAAAGTATGCAGATTGAGAGAGTTGAGCACAAGCTCCTGTTCTGTATGTGCCTTCTTGTGACCATGTGTTGTAACCTATTTTAGGTCCAGGTAAATTTGTACCTGAAACAATGTAAAGTTCTTAATTAAATCCATCAAGATGTAAGAAAACAATAAAAGTACGAAAAATAATAATTTTTACATACCAAATGTTACTTTACGTTTATAAAAAGTACCATTAATAACTGGAATCCTCTCATTAGTCAATCCAGTAACAACAATAACCTTCATGAAGTTTGTATCATACTCAAGTTCATTTTTATATGCATGCATTGTATACTTTTTTGTGGTACTATTTTTCTTCACATATATTATGTCTAAAACACCATCCATGTAGAAGTCATAGAATGTAGCCATAACAACATTGTTCCCAAATGAGTTGAATTGTTCCCATTGTACTTGAAATGTTCTGTGGAATTTACATTCAGGTGCCTCACAAGCCACATTATGGAGGAGGAAAACCCGTGTTTCATTATTGTTATTTATAGGACTTAAAGTCATGAGAATGTCGGGGTACCCATCCATGTTAAAGTCACCACTTCTCATTGTGATAGTGTCCAGATAGACCTCGTCCTTTGGAGGGGTGAACCTCCAAAGTGTTCCTTTACCATCATTGAAATCGACTTGCAAATCATGCCACTGTTGATTGTCATAAATCAAAATAGTGCTGTTAAAACACTCCATGTCATAACAAAGAGGAATTACCAAAAAGAAGTCTCCAGACAAAGCTACGTCTAGGAAAAGTGCCTGCCCATATATTGCTTGATGACCAACCAACAAATCAATATTGCGATTCAGAGTAAAACCGCCTGGCTTATTACTATACCAAATTTCTACATCAACTGTGGTAGTTAGCATTAAATCTGCAGCATTATCATCATTGACATCTAAAAATGAATGTGAATGTGGCAGTTTTATCTGTTTCATAATTCCTTCATCCATTAATATTTCCTTTGGAGTGCTTCTAGTTCTATCAAAAACCCAGTACACCCTTTGGTTGTGTGTGTTTATGCCAAACAAGTCCAGGACCATATCGCGATTGTAGTCGATCACTAAAGGTTGGCCAACTGATGTTGCTTTGATCATCTGTGCATCAGAGCAGTTCAAGGTGGGCATACCACCCCACAGTATTCTGACATCGTGAAGGTTGGTTGTCTCATTACTCTGTGTTTGCGTAGTTAATAGTATGTCCATGTACGCATCGCCATCGTAATCACCTGGTACAATGCTTGTTATGGCTGTATTGGTAAAGTTGCAAGCATACCCAGAAGGTCTTAAAAACGGTTCCTTATCGTAAGCTAGAAAAACTTCAATAGTCGATGAATTTATAATAAGAAAGGCATCTGTCAATTCATCAGAGTTAAAGTCTCCAAAAGCAGCCAATACGCCTTCCTTGTGAGGACCAAACGAACTCTCAGTCATGTCACTCAAACCTAAACAACACAAAGCGCGCAAGGTAATAAAGTTGAAAATTAATTTTAACAACATTTTGGATAGGTTGCTGTACCACTTTAACAATAGATCATCGTTTTTGTAATGTTAAATAGAGCTTTGTTTGTGTTTATTTTTTTAACAAATCGACATTATAATTATTTTTTTCTTCTTTCCATAAAGGAAAAGGCAAAGGTTTTACACCATACAGCCAAGTCTTGGTACATTATTAAGTCTTTTGAGCCATGTCTTCGTTTAATTATGTTTCTGTAAATCAGTGTTGACTCTTTTTTGAAGTAGGT